GGGGGCAGCGGCGAGGCCGCGGAGGGCGGGATGCGGAGGGCAGGATGCGCCGCACCGCCATCGCCGTGCCCCGGCGCCCCGCCTGACATGGCGCCGGTACCGCCGGGATGGGGAGGGATGGGGCGCTCCTGGTTGCCAAGAGATGAGGAGCCGCCGTGCTCCCGGGAGGGGCACCGCTGCCCCCGTCTCCCCAGGGCGATCCCGGAAAACGGGGGCCCGGCTGTCAGCGTTACCGGGACTTTGGGGTAGAAGCTGGAGGCTGGCATCGGCCATCTCAGGAGTGAAGGGGGAAAGTGGGGGAAAAGCGGCTTCGGGAGTGGAAAGGGCAGTTCAGGTTTTAAAGTTCAGCAGCTTGCCAGTGCTTGAGAGTTCAAATGTGTGGTGAGAAATACATTGCCCTTCAGATTTTTCACTTGGCTTCGTGTGTCATTTTGGATTTATCAAGGATGAGGAGAATTCAGAACTCACAGTTCCAGAATCCGTATAAGCCAAATTGCAATGCGTTTGAGTCGGCCGAGTAGGGGACAGATACCGGAGGGATTCTGGATCCGCCTTGGAGGAGGAGGACAGCCCACAATGAATACACGCTTATGCAATAGAGCAGTCAGACTGTAGTACTTAAAACACCGAGGGAGTGTTGGGAACACGCACTTTATCTGTCAGAGTGAGGTTTTCCAAATGACTTGTTCTGATGCACACTTGGCAGTGAATGGGAAAAAAGAGAGTCCAGGGATTGGGTCCATCGGTGTAGCTTTTTGAAAGATGCATTAAGTACATCGAGTGTATGAAACCTGCTATTGTCTTTCACCACCTGCTTTGTGGTTGAGGGTTTCGTTTTCAGGGCTAGAATAGATATGGCTTTAGTGATGAACACATCTGCATGAAGAAAACTACATAACACCACCACTTACTACCTCTGAACACAAAATTAATTATTCTTCTAGAGTCTAGGCTAAATTAAATTGACTTGGGCATTATAGCTAACATAACAGACCCTAAGTCTAGATCTATTTTCTTGTATTGTTTATCTTGTAGGACACAGATGACTTTGGGATGAGAGGGACACTCCTGCCATATGTAGTTCACAAAAATAATAGACACTTTTTAAAATAAAACACTTGGACCTTTTCCTTCTAGAGCAAGTGACTGGACTTCATGGATTGTAGCACAAGAATTCAACTTCATTCTTTAAATTTGTAAATTGTGCTATTCTGGCTGTGGATAGCACAAAGACAGCAAGGCTGTCCATCTACTTGGTGAAACAATTTTTAGTTCCCATTTTGTATTAGAAAAAACAATAGTAACAAACCCTGAGAAGATGAATTAACTAATATACAAAGTTTGGAAGTTTAGCTTAAATATGAAATGATGAAATATTTTGAAGAAATCCTCACCAAATATTTGTCAATCTTTTTGCTAACTGATTATTCTAAGTTGTTTCTTCAAACATGTATCTGTTTTGTCCTTATGTAAGATTAGTTTCCTTAAGTGCAATAACCCTACAAACATGCAATATAGTATAGAACAGAACTGCTCTGGATTCTTCCTTAACCTTAGTTTCGTCCAGGTTTTGGAAGTCTGTGCTTTTCATTGCTGCCATGCTGAGCATGGCTGTGGGTGGCTTCAGGACCTTCCCTAGAGAGTTTCTGTGCAGGGGCAGATTGGTGAGGTTTGTGGGCTGCTGAGATGTAGCATAGATAGCTTTAACTCTGGTAAATTAGAAAATGTAAATTAGAAAATGTACAGTTAAAGATGGCTTTGCATTCTAGGAAGCATCTCAGACCACAATAAAAGTGTGTTTTTCTTAGAAAGAAAAGTTTTAGTTACTGAATTCACCAACAGTAAAAACAGTCTATACCTTTTGCAGAAACTGGCTAGGTCCCATTCTGATGTAAAGCAGATGGTTTCCTCCCATATGTCTCAGGTCTGCCTGAATACCTGGAGATTTGTTGTGATTAGGCTGCCACAGGTGCATTTGAAAGGTCTGTTTAACTCACATTTTAAAAGCAGGGCAGTGTGAACGATAGTGTAGTAGGCACGATGCAGAAGTATCCTCATTGAAGGTAACTGCAGAAAATCATCATCACAGAAAAGTACTGTTGCAAAGTGGGGCAGTGCTCTCCTCAATATTTTTCTAAGCAAGAGTATATCCTTTCTCTAAATGGAGTCTGAGTGGCATTTGGAAAATAAGCATTTGGCTAGTAAAATTTCCCCAACCTTCTCTTCATTCTGGTGGTAGAATATTCATAATACGATCACCAGAGGCTGAACTTCAGAGGCTAAAATATCTGAATGAACCCTCATTGCAGCTATGTGGCTTATGCAGGTAGAAGATTTAAAGCAAAACTAGAAGGCCAGCAAAGAATACTTCTTATAAAATCAGTAGCTGCAGCTAGTATTTTAAGACCTTTCAAAAAACTTTGCAAAAAAATAGAGCTGCCTGTAAGTCCTATAAAGAGATGGCAAAATATCTCTTTGTCATTCTGCTAGTCTGTGACAACTTTCTATATATTACTTTTCTGATGTTTTTTTCAAGCCCTCCTTAGCCTAGGCCTGCCCAGGCAGTGTGAGCTTCCTCCTGTGAGCTGCTGGGTGATTTTGAACATCCGTTCACCTCCGAGCAGGTTGAGGCTGCTCTCTGCCTTGCTGGATCAGACTCTTGGTTCTTCTTTCATAACTGCCAAGGTCTTTCATAACCTCTGATCTTTCATAACCCCAGACGCGAGCCAGTTCCTCTCACATGCCTTTCATAACCTACACACATGCCACGTGTTTAATCTCATCCACTTGGAATAGGCCCATCCTGGATGAACCTGAAATACTAGTGTTTCTTGGGTGCTTTGTCTGCCTCAATCCTCCAGAGCCCCCGCCAGATTTGTGTAGATGTTGGACTTCCTTCCCGGAGACAATGAACACTCAGTGGAGAGGAAAACCTGTTCTCTCTGACCTCAGAGCAGAAAACGGAGACTAGTCATGGATTTCCTTCTCTCCCAGGGTGTGAAGCCCTAATTGACTTAGGTGTGGCTCAGCTGGAGGTGGTAGTCAGCTTCCCTTCCTGCCCCAAACCGCTGCCCCGCGTTCCTTGGCGCGGCTGCTCTGTGTGCCACACAGGGAGCCCCGCTGAGGTCTGCTCAGACGGTGGTGCAAAAACCAGGGTCACTCAGGGGAAGCTGCTGCAGCTGGAATTGGTTTAATTCAGCAAACAGCTTGCCGTTCTCTTCTTGGACAGTAATTGCAGGCTGTGGTGATGCAATAAAATAGGTTGTAGTTTTGCAGAGAGAGAGTGACCTCTCCGTAGCTGACTGGCCATCAACGTGGAATCCTCAGATGGCCTCCAGTGCGGATCTCTGTCACTTCACAGGTTTGATGGATGATCTCCCAATAGGGACTTAAATGGGAGAACAAGCGTCTAACAGCTTTAATAAAAACAGAGGGGGGAAAAAAAGAAAACAAAAAGGAAGTAATCTTTTGGAATTATTAGCCTGAGTGCGAAAGAGCGTTTCCTCAGCATGACAGCCAGAGGCTTGCTGCGCTGTTATTAAAGCACTTCAGTAGGAATCCATGCAGATGGCTTTTTTACCCAGCATAGGATTATATTGGATTAGTCATATAAAATTGTTGTTTACTGTCTCTAGCCCTTTTCCCTGGAGGTTTTATCAGGAATCTCACAAAGCATATAGTTTGAGCCTGCCTTTAAAAGGTAAACCAGATGAGAAGCTTTTTGTTTGTGTAAACTGTTATGATGTTATAGTTTAGTGCAATCTTAATGTTGCAGTGAGAGATTTTATAGCTGATAAAAGAGGATGCTTAGCCCAGATTTTTATTTTGCCTACAAGAAGGGAAGGTAGATAGTAAGTAGATGCTTTCTCTTCTTTACCCCCTAGAAGAGCTGTGCTGATCCCACTTCTGCTCCATCAATCAGAAATTCCTAACAATGGCACAGTTTTTCCTAAAGCTCCCTAACAAGTCATGTATGACATAATGCTTGATTAATGCACTGTTCTAAATGGTGTGTATTAGATGTTTTACGTGTTCCCTTTCTGCCATGCAGAGTCATTCTGACCATTTCTCCTCTATGTCCAGGAGGCCCAGGGATAACTGCTCAGACACTGTCCACGTTTTCCCTCCTGCCACAAACTAACCAACAATCTCAAACATGCAGTGCAGGACTCTACCTTCAGATGTATCCCAGGGGCTGGCTAAAGTGGAAATTGAGATTTTTTTTTTTGTTTCAAGGTCTGACAGACAGCTCTACTGGTAAAATGGCATCCTTCAGTGTTTTCTGGAGTTTTCAGACTGGCTCTGTCATGATGGGAAATTTTCCCTTCCCGGAGGTATGGCTGAGAGAGCTTTCCTGATGTGCAAGTGCCTTTGATTCTACATAAGAGATGTTTTTCTTCTCTGTAGGGAGTTCTGTGGACAAGGTAATGCAGTCCTAAGCTGTTACTTTTTTTCCTAGACCATGTCCATGAGTGTAGAATAATAAGGTATTTTTCCCTGGCCTTGAAGGGACAAGCAGCAGACTGTCTCTGCCACATGCATGCCAGTATTGTTTTTTGAACATTATCCACTGAAAACACTGAACATTATCCACTGAAAACAATCTACTGTTATAATCTGAAGTTTCTATCACTGAGGGGGATACAGAACTTCTGTCAGTGTGCTGTTACAGGGATCCTCGTTAGCCTAATTTGGTTTAGTAAATGTTACCTCTGTTTGGTTTTGTCAGCTTTAAGTTAACATTGATTTCCTCACATATTAAGAGAAATTTTTTTTTTCCAGTTCTGCAAACAGTCATCTTAAATCCAGTCATGTCTTGGTGCTTTTCCTCATGATATGCAAGAAATGTTCGTGTTCTGAACTGAATTCTGAACTTGTATATTTAGCTGCCCTCCGTGGTTGTGCCAAGGCCCGGGAAAGCCAGACTGCTTCTCCCTGTTTCAGGGAAGGCTCCTGAACACAAATGGGATTATTACTCTGTGACCAAAGATCAAAACAAGATGGGAAAAGGGCCTTTTTCCCATGTTGGCCATTTTGCTCAAGGTTGTTCTGTGATTTTTGATCTGGCATTTGCCTGTGAGATTGGCAGCACTGATTGTGCCAAAGAACATATTGGGCAGAAAAACCACATAAGCCTTGCCATCTTCCAGCCTGACAGGGACTTGAGAGTCGTTGCTGACACAGCTGTTTTGGATGGAATAGAAGAGATTAATTTGGGGCAGGTGAAATTTGTGTAAGTTTCTACAGAGGCTGTAGATTTTCACAGGAGAATTTTAATTCCTGGAATATCTGATCAGGATGGCAGGTCTCTCTGAGGGTTGAAAGGATACACTGACTTTTAATCCGTGGGCAAAAAAAGGCTACACTTGGAGTTATAGTAGGGTTGCATTAGGTAATCCCATGCTTATACATTTTCTGACAAATCAATGATTTTGGTGCACGCCTTAAACAACATCTTCCCTTTGTCACTGGAAAAAGTATTACTGAAGTAGTCATTTACAAAGTTTTGCAAAATACCAGAATCACTATTATATATCGAGAGTGCATTTTCTTCTAAATTAGTAACATAGAATCATTGAAATGTTAGCCAAAAAGGGACTTTAAAATGGTCTGTGTACTTCCTGTATGCCACTATGCTGTGCATATTAGGTATTCCTGTATTCAAAGTAATGCCTGATCATTTTCTGATGTGTTTATTAAAATACCTAGTGAGGGAGAACTATGTGTATTTTTTTCTTTGATAGCAAATTGAACTAATCTCTGTTGGAAAGTAACTTTATTTCTGCTCATTCTCCTCTGCAGTACACGGGAAAAAATTACTACTGTCCTCTACAGTAACCAAAGATAAACTCAGTTAAAATGATTCTTATTTCAACCCCTCTGTATATAATATGCTGTATTTTCTTCTGTACGTAACTTTTATTCCTGTCTTATAGACTCCTCACCCGAGATCTTGTTTGTTCTGGATAAACCAGAATAGAACTGAGTAATTGCATCTCAGGGTATTACTACTCCATCTGAAAATGGGACTTCCCTTTCTCTGCAGCACCATTACAATTGCTGGCTGGTCCTATCCCACCCAGTTTTATTTTTTCTTACTGCTACTGTGGCTAGTAGCTGTACCAGCTGTATCAAGAAGTGACCTCCTGGTTTCCATAGTATGAACTGCAAGTTGCTAATTCATTCAATGTTAGTTGCTGACTGAAGTAGCTACTTTGATGCCAGGCTATTTGGGGACAAGGTGACTTGTCATGGGCCCCAAGAATTAGCAGTGTTGGGTGGCTACTTCTGCAACTGTGGAACCAACTCAGAAATCTTCACAAATAGGATTCCTGGCAGCAGTTAACACCATGGGCACGTCCTTCCCTCACATGCACTTTCGGGTTGCTGACAGCCTCAGAGCTTGGATCTTGTGTCCATTTAGCTCAGCACAGTGAAGGCTGAGCTGAATATAGACAAGGCTTTTATCTTTCACTGTGACCCCTGTGCAAAGTTCAAGAAGTTGAACAGATGAGTGACTGGGTTGAGAGTAGAGGAGGAGAGATGCTGGGGTTGTGCCCTGGAGCCAAAGCTGTGTGCCACCTCCCTTAATCTGATTACAGTTTCCACTCACAGCCTAATGCGACCTGTCTTGTGCCACTTTTTGGTAAACCGTAGACTCACAAGTAGGCAGTGTTGAGCTGCTGTCATCTCCCCACTTCTCTTCCCTGGCATGACAGGCTGAGAAAGTTGGGGCTGTTCAGCCCGGAGAAGAGAAGGTTGCATGGAGACCTCACATCGACCTTCCAGTATGTGAAGGGGGCCCACAGATAGGAAGCCAGAGAGGGACTCTTTGTTAGGAGCTGTAGTGATAGGGCAAGGAGTAATGGGTACAAACTGAAAGAGGGGAAATTTATGTTATATATACGGAAGAAATTCTTGACTGTGAGGGTGGTGAGGCACTGGAACAGGTTGCCCAGAGAAGCTGTGGATGCCCCAACCCTGGCAGTGTTCAAGGCCAGGCTGGAAAAGGCCTTCAGCAACCTGGTCTAGTGGGAGGTGTCCCTGCCCATGGCAGGAGGGTTGGGACTAAATGATCTTTATGAATCTGTGAGTCTTTGAAAGATTTGCCAGGCTTTGCAGTCAGGTGGGCTACATGGTCAAGATGAAGGGGTGGGTGGCATCTGGCAACATCTTACACCAAAAAAGATGGGAACGTGTGATGTGCTTTAAGAAACAAGAGAGGCAACATTTTGTACAAAGACAGGAGATGCAGAGAACAAATGAAGACTTAGATCTGAGACCTAGCAAATGAGAGAGGAACAGGAAGGGTTTTAAACTGCCAATAGCAAAAGCTAGAGAGACCAGCAGGCAGTAGTCACTGCCTTGGGTCAATCTTGCTGGAATGGGTAAACTTCTCATGGCTGGTGAGTGTCTGCTGTTGATATGGTGTCTGTAAGGTACAGTCTGTCATGAGGGTGGAATGCCTTCATTCTGCCTGTATGCCCTCTAACCTGTCTGCCAAAAATAACAGCAAAATACAAAGACCAAATCATAGAATGGGTCAGGTTGGAAGGGACCACAGTGGGTCGTCTGGTCCAACCTCCCTGCTCAAACATGGTCATCCCAGAGCACATGGCACAGGACTGTGTCCAGACAGTTCTTAAATATCTCCAGTGAGGGACACTCCACAACCCCTCTGGGTAATCTGTTCCAGTGTGAGGTCACTTGCACAGTAAGGAAGTTCTTCCTCAATTTCAGGTGGAACTTCCACCAGTTTCTGCCCGTTGCCTCTTGTCCTATTGCTTGGCACCACTAAGAGGAACCTGGCTCCATCCTCTTGGCATGCCCTCCCTTTAGATATTTATACCCAAAGGCAAAGCCCAGCAAACAGTAGCAATAGCAAGTACCACAAACACCAAGGATACAGCCCCCACCTCGCTGGGTAGCAGCATTACCAGGCATGCCCTTTTCTCCTGCCTCGGTGGATGTTACTGGAACAGCCTGTACCTGTTGTGCTGGGGGCAGGAGATGCAGCACCTGCTTTTGCAGAGATACATCACTTGGTGTGTGTTGGTGTACAAATATATCCGTGCAGGTCCGTGGTCGGCAGCGTTCTCAATCCCACCCACTCGGTACCTGTTAGTCACAGAAAGTCTCAGGATCACTGAATCTGCTGAGTTGGAAGGGACCCTCAGGATCACCGAACCCACCTCCTGGCCCTGCGCAGGACACCCCAGGAATCCCACCGAGTGAGACTTGGTGACAATTTAAAAGTGACAATTTAAAAGCGACAAGCAGAGACTGCGGTGTTTCTAGGGCGGCTCCAGGGGCAGAGGGTGGCCGCCATTCGCCGGGAAAGAGGGATGGCGCCGGGTGTCCCCGGAACCGCGGCGGTCGCTCGGCTATGACGTTCCCTGCTCGCAGCATATCCGGCCGGGCCATCCCGGCGGCTCCCGCTCGGTGTCTCTGCCTTCCCGGTGCTTCCCATGGCCCTGCCCGCCGTCCACAGGTGCCTCCAAGTGAGTGCGGCCCTCGGCAGTGCCACCCCGGCTCCCCAGAGCCCCGTCCCGTCCCGGGCACGGCGCCGGGAGCGCTCGGGAGCGACCAGGTTTGCCCTGGGGGCAAAGCTCAGGCTTAGGGCAGAACGCAGGGTCTCGGTGCCTTCTGCTCTTCCTTCTGCTGACACATAGCATCTCTTTTACTTAATTCCCGCTGGGTTAAGACAATAGAGTTATAGTTTACATCTATATCTATACACACACACACACGCAATATATATATATATATGTACTATAGTATTATATTAATATACACTGTATATATAGAAGTAAAATATATTCATATATAACTGTATTATAGTATAGTTATATATTGCCTTATATAATATATTCTATACAATTATATAATATTCTATATAATTATATAGTATTTTATATATCCTATGCAATAATATATGCTATATATACTATATATTACTATTCATGGCTAGGCTTCGCGAACAAAGATTTAGGAAGGCTCTGTCCACGTTTGCTACAAGCACGCTGGTGGCTTATGAGGCCAATACGAGATAGACATATCCGATTGCAAAAGGCACAGTAGAAAGACTCCTTAGGTGGTATATTCTGCAAGACACGGTTCTTTCTGCTTTGTCTTTTCTCCTCTAGACTGATCCTGTGTGCTTTCTCAAAGGAAACGGCAGTGTTATAGATGGTGTGTCTCCAGGCCTCCCAATTGGAGGCCAGAGTAGACCAGTTCTGTTGATCAGTATGGCCAAGGCTGAGTTGTTGTTTCAGGGAGTCCTTGTGTCTTTTCTTCGGGGCTCTTCTCTTGCGGCAGCCGGTGGCAAGTTCACCGTAAAGCAAGATTATTACTATATGTAATATAGTAATATGTATTACTACGTATAATATAGCAATAACTAATATATTTATATATTTACATATATTTATATGTTAGTTATTGCTATATATAATATATATATTTCTGTATATATTGTCTATATGACTGCATACTGCTGGGCGAGGTTCAGCAGTTGTGCACACAAGAAGTTCTGCTAGTGCGGCTGTCCTTTGGCTCCGGTAATAACATAAACATGAGCTTAGTTGTGGAGCTGATGTTTATGGTTTAGCACTGTAACTGAAAACTCCGATTTTTTGTCCCTTTGTGATTAATTTTAAATACAAAGCCAGTTCCCTACATTCCTTAATGAGTTACGAACATATATTAGAAACCTTTAATATGCATGTTAAAGAAGGTTTGTTTTAGTCAAATTTTCATAAAATTTGAAGCCGACTGTTTTTCCTGCTGTTTTCCTTTATATGTTTGTATAGTTTAAGATAAATGTAGTTAGTTTAAGATAAATGTAGTAAAGCTTTTGGGAGAGAATTTTAATGTTATCAGCCTACTACATACCTGATCTAAAAATGTTTCTTGATTTTTATTTTTTTTAAATTCTCTTCCTTTTCAGCTCAGTGATGAAAATGAACAGTTAGTCAAGAAGGTGAAAAGACTACATATAAAAAATAAGGAGCTAGAAAAGAATCTGGGTCAGATCCAAGAAAAGTTGCATCTGCAGCAGTTAATGCATGACTGTGGCACAAGCAGAGAGTAAGAAGTGTCAAATGTTTCTTTTTGCATCAAAAGAAGTGCAACATTTCAGGACTTTTACCTTCATGTTTTCAGATGAACTAGGCCTTATCTAGTGCACATATTTTGAGGGGCCATCTGTGACCAGGATGGTGGTGGTAGAAGATGCTTGAGGCATGTAAAGGAACAAAGGCTGTCTGGGGCAACCTGTACAGAATTCATTATTGTAGTGAAAAAACCAGTTTTAATATCAACAAGTAATACACCTGCTTAGTGCTTAGCCAACGTACTCTCTGTCTAACTGCAAAGACTTTTACATTTATTTTTCCACCAAACAGTAGTAAGATAGTTAAATTGCATCAATGCTATTTAAAAGATTTAGAAACTGAGACCTTTGGACCTGGAAAACTGTAGTGCCAGTGTTATGGAAAGTGTCCTGCCAGGATTTAAGTAGTGGTCTGCAAAAATCGTCAAAATTTAAATTTTGGTGTGTTTATGATCCTGCGTGGAAACCTCTACTGTAAAACTGAAAAGTAACTTGGCTTTTTTTCAGTTGTTTTGTTTGATCCAATTGAATTGTAAAATTTAATTTTATTAAGCTGTTGTTTTTCTTTCAATTAAGTGTTCAGGTTCAAACAGAAACCCATTTATGGCGTAAGGGTGAAGACAGCAAGGATTTTGTTCTAGAGTGTGACAGTATCAGGTGAGTTCTTGGAAATTGCTTCTTCACAGTAGTAAATATTCTTCTCTGTGGGGTAGAATATGTTGTTCGTGGTTATGTCAGTGAAATTTATAACTTATGGAGGTGAGATGGCTTTCAGCCTTTGCATTTTAAAAGGATTTACAAAACCTTAGATTAAACTTGAAAATGGCACTAAAGAAAGAACAAAATGGATTTCTTTCTCAAATCTTTAATTGAGAAAAATTTAATGAGCCAGGAAGCTCCTTTATGTGTGTGTAGATTTTTTTTTAAGATTTTGTAGATTTTTTTTAACCACCTTCTATTTTGTGGCAGCTTTCTTAACTCATTTTATATAGCTCAGTTTTATGTGTATATAAAATTTATAGGCTGATACTGTTTTCAAAGTAAGCCAGAGAAGTGATTTTACTCTTCAGTCTAATTAATTTGAGAGTTGAGCCACTACTTTTCGTAGTTTGCCAATTAATGCTAGAATGAAACTCTTGTAACTGCTTTTCTGATGCAAAAGATACATTTTTTATTTGATAAAATATACATTGAAACATTTTAATAACTAGGAAAGTGACATAAAATATTGTTCCATTCTTCTGTGACTTGACTGTAAAACAAACTGCTCCATCTCTTCTAAGGCTACTTTTTGTTCACTTACATAAATGGGCTGTGGATCTTACACAGATTGAGGCAGTCCCTATGGCTTTTTGGCCAAGTACCCTGTTTTTAATCTTTCCTTTAGGTGTCTTTGGAATGCCCTTTTAAAATTTTGTTTTGTTTTGTTTTGGGGTTTTTTTGGTGTATTTTTGTTTTGTTAAATACCTTTTCAGCGTACCAGACTCTCTTTGCAAACTACATAGGAAGGCTGGGTGACTGGCTCTGGCCTGGAATTCAGTACCTAGTTAGATGCTTATGGGGAAGAAGTCCAAGTTAGTCTTTGAATCAAGTGCTATATTACGATGCAGTTAACCTGACATACCTTTTTTTTCTAGCATCTGTTTGTATGTTGTTTTACAAAGCTGTGCTGTACTACAGTCTAGCTCATCCTGTTTGTAGTGCGCAGTCATGACTTAGTATGAATTACTAGAAAAAAATAGGAAAAATGTAGTCAGTTATGTTCTGGCCCTCATATATGGAAACTGAATGCTATATAATATGGCAGGAAATTAGTGTAGCAGAAGTCTATGCAAGATAATATCAAAGAGAAAGATAACATCCCAAATCCGTTTATTTTACATTGATTTTTGCCCACTCATTTTCTCATTGATTTCACTCACTGGTATCCTCACAGCTACACACTTGGAAGCAATGAGATGTTTTGTGCAACACAGAGAGCTGGGGACTCTGCCTCATGTGTCCTCATTATGGGTTCTTCATTGGTGGCAAGAAGTTAGTTTCTGAAATCCTTTAGGAGTGTCCTTGTGCTATTCCTGTTGTGCTAACAGGGAGAGGAATTATATATGTGACGCTGCAGTCATTGCCACCCTCCTGTTGCTGGTGTATAGGTCTTGCATCAAAGAGTCATTTTCACTGAGCTTTAATCAGAATGTGGCCATGTGTGCTGGGCAAAACAGGGTCTTCAGTCTGGCTGAGTGAAAGGGATTCTTTGCCATCCATACAGACCATTCTTTTAACTTGCTTATTGTTATTTTCTGGTGCTTTCTCTTTCTGTGTTGACAGTCTCACTTCATTCACGCCCATCTTAAATATTTCTGCAGTGCAGCTACAGCCCAGGTGATCTCTGTGAGGTGTCTCTAATACCTTTGCCATAAGGGATGCATGTTTTTTGGCTTTTGTGTTTTACTGCAATTTATGCATTTCTTCTGTTTTAGACTGCTTCATATGTATAATGAGCTACAGAAACGTTACGTTAGAGAAAGCAAAAAAAACAAGGAGCAAAGTGAAGCAATTAAAAATCTCACTGTAAGTAGAATTTGTAGGAGGTGGTATCAAATAGCCAAACGTAAGCTTTTAGGGAGACTGGAAAGTGTTTCTTGCATTTGTGAAATGAGATCATGCTTTTCCTGTTATACTTATTTTTGTTTCTCATGACGTTGAGATAATGGAGAGTAGCCTGTAGTTCCCTTTGAAAATGAACTTTTGTCTCTGGTAGCAGAAAGCTGTCTCCCCTTTCCTTGCTTTTTTCTTTACTCATCTCCCTACCTGTCCTTCCAATTGTGTGTACATCTTTTGACCTGCCTTGCCCTGATATTCTTCTATGTGTGTCAAGAGCTGATTTATTTCAGAACTTTAGCAGCAGCAAACCAAATGGAGGCAAATAGTCTTCTTTGAGGTTGCAAGACTGGTGGGCTTGCTGTGCAAAGAGACTAACATCATAACTGAAGTGAAGGTAGAATTGTGTGACCAGGAGTGGTTCTAGTGGTTCAAGTGGGTATTGCCTCTTTGGGCTATTGATCAAGCATTGCAGTTGACCAGTCTCATTTCCTCATTTGTGCTTTATTTGTTTGTGAATTAGTATTCATTATAATTTGGATGATATGTACTTTTTCTTAGAAGTTGGGAATTGCTGCCATGAAGGTATGCTTTGCTGTGAGGGAAGGTTTAGTATCCCTGTGCATTTATATGCACAGAGAAGTTGTGGATGCCCCCCCCCCGAAGTGTTTTCAAGGCCAGTTTGGATGGGGCTTTGAGCTCCCTGGTCTAGTGGAAGGGGTCTCTGCCCATGGCAGGGGGGTTGGAACTAGATGGTCTTTAAGGTCCCTTCCCATCCAAACCATTCTGTGGTTCCATGATTGTCTTGCAAGCATGTGCTCGCAGATTTTTTTAAAAAACTTGATGTATGCAAAGCTTCACTTGCTGTGAAGCTTTTTCTTTTTTCTTCTTTCAGACCCTTTGGATGAATGTAGTTTTAAGTCAGCAAATGAAAGCTCTAGGTTTGTATTCAGAATGTGTTTTCAGTGGTATTCAGTTGAACTGTGTTTTTTCTATGCATTTTAAAAAATTTTTCTCAACAGATTAAAATTCATGAGCTAGAGCATAATCTTCAAGAGCAGAGGCAAAGAATTGAACAACTGGAATGTAAAAAGGTTTCTTGGAAAACTAGTGCTGTTTCTGGAAAAAGAAGTCGAACCTCAGAGGGAGGAATAACTTCTCACAGGGACATTTCTGAAGAGAAAGAATCCTGTTGCAGTAAATATTTAGGTAATGGTGCCATTAATTCTGAGGATGTTCCTTTCAGTATGCCCATCAGAGAGAATGTATTTCATTTCTGACCTAGAGGCCATTCTTTTACTTTAACCAGCATTAGCTAAAATGTTCTTTTCATTTTTGAAAACCTGTTATGTAAAAATGGCATCTCGTAGTCTAGGATTCAGCCTTGCATTTGTTTGTGTTTAAATGTGTGCTGTTTTTTTGGAATTGGTAGGTTGATAAAATCACGGGTAGGAGTGTGTGGCTGTATTTAGAGCTATTTATTCTTTATTCTGGTAAGATGTATGTATGCAGATCTCTTAGTAATAATGTTTACTGCACCATTCTTTGGTTTTCAGACACTGATACACAAAATAACCTTTTAGGTTATTTTAGGGTTTAGCCCTGAAATGTTGGACAAACCTAGGCAATACTGATTTCAGCATGTTCTTCCTCACAAGTAAATCCACAAGTTAAGGTGCAATCCTGTTCTACATCAAAGCATAGAAAAGAGGTGGAAGAGATCTTATAATGTAGGCATAATTTTCAGGAAATGTGCAGTCAGCAAGAGCTAATGTGACCCTCTTGTAAGTCAGAAAAAGGTAATTGAAGCATGTGATGTATGTTTTGTGGATTTTAAAGTGAAATAGTCCTCCATTCTAAGAATCTGGCAGATTCAGATTATCCAGTTGGCAAATCCTGCTGTCTTTCATAGTACTTGGGTATGTTCTGGGCCAGTTCTTAAGAATAAATCACTTTATGAAAAAGATACTTTAATTTTCTAATATCACAAAAGGTAGGCAGCTCTTTAGCTGTCCTATGATTCATATAAGTGGGAGGTTGACTGTATTGGTTGAAGTGTACATTTTTTTATTTGAATGTAGAGCTATTGTTGAAGGAGATTAAAAAGCTGAAGAAAGAAAATGGAAAGTTGTCTGCAGAAAAGAGAGCACTAAAAAATGAATTAGCTGGATTAGACAAGGTAATTTATTTTAAGACAAGTTTAACAGGAGGTGATTTTTGAAAAACTAACTTTTCTGCCTGAACCAAAACATCTTTAGGCTGAACATATGATGTTATCAAGCCAAATACGTAAAAAATCAGTGAGAGAGATGGAAATAAATGGCTCCTTGAAACATCCATGTCCTACAGTGCTGCTTGGCTAAGGAAGAGGAGTAATGCAGTTTTAATTTTATGGTTTTGGCTTTATTTTTGGTTTTAATCCATACCTGTGGAATTTTTATTTTTTTAATGTTTGGGCTATTTGAATTCCTTTATGAAAGATTATTTGCCTCAGCTTGTTTTGACATTGCTCATTTTGACATTAAAATTGTAACTACTGGTACAGTCTTAATTTCTTCCAACAGGTACTTGCAGAGAGAATAAAAATAGGTTTTTGACTGATCACTTTTATTGCTTCATGATTTCAGTGAAAAGAAAGCTATTTTCTCCTGAACTCAAACATATCAAATTTATGCTTCTGACAGAACTCCAAGCTTGGGGAGGGCAGAGGCTTTGAAGTTTCTGTGGTAGATTGATAGGTGTAGAAAGTGAAAGTGCAAAAATTTGGTAATTGTTGAAATAATGTAAGAAGATGAAGAGATCTTATCTAACTATAGAGGGCTCTGTTTAATGTGCTGACATAAGATTTTTATTTTCAGCAGCAGACTTGTTTAAACTGTTTTTTGCTTATTTTTCAGGTCTTGTATTGGATTTTTTTTTTTTTTAGAATCTGTTTTCTTACCTTGCAGTCCTTTCTCACAAACTAAATAACTTTAAGCTAGCTTTCATTAAGGGGTAGCAGTAAAAGATGATGGTAGTTCATTGGGTGTGAAGCTGGTAGAACACTGAGCCAGGGTGAATTCTAGATCCCCATGTTTGGGAGTTAGGGACAACTTGTGGCTAAAAGTTTCATCTTCCAGAAGAGAAATATGTAGATCTGAGGTCATGACTTTTTATCAGTGACCCTTTTTTAGGTAGTTTTAAATCACCGTATGTTATTTAAGATGCATGTAGCTGTTAATTAAAAAAAGAAGAATAGGCAGGAGAAAAATGTCAAATACAGATGGATGTAGGTAGATACATTGTTACTTTGGTAGATAGGAGTTTCCAAGGTTGGTGAAATGAAGACTTCAGTAATTGCACTCCACTTTCTGTCCATATATTTCCCTGCAATTTCTGACTTCACTTACAAAGAGTCAGAATTTCTCAATAGACTTGAGTTACAGGAGCTGAACAAAACATTGTTCCATATATGAAGATTATTTCTATGAATCTGAGTTTGTCTCATATTTGAATTAAGTCTAACTAGAACTACGTGCTCAGTTATCCATTCTGGGATAGTATAATTGCAAAAGGATCAATATGAGAAAGTGAAACCACACAGCCTGACATTAAATAAGCTGGAGCACCTCTCCTGTGAAGACAAACTGAGAGAGTTGGGGTTGTTAAGCCTGGATAAGAGAAGGCTCTGGGGAGACCTCATAGCACCTTCCAGTACCTAAAGGGGGCCTGCAAGAAAACAGGAGAGGGACTTTTCACAAGGGCACGTAGTGACAGGACAAGGGGCAGTGGCTTTAAACTGAAATAGGGTGTGTTTAGATGAGATATTAGGAAGAAATTCTTTGCTGTGAGGGTGGTGAGGCACTGGAACAGGTTGCCCAGAGAAGTTGTAGATGTTCTATCCCTGGAACTGTTCAAGTCCGGGTTGGCTGGGGGCCTTCAGCAACCTGATCTAGTGGAACGTGTCCTGCCCATGGCAGGGGGACTGTAACTAGGTGATCTTTGTCTCTTCCAACCCAAACCATTCTATGATTCCATGTTCAACAGAACTTTTTTTCTGTGGATTTCATATTGACCTGTCTCTTTATGTTCTGTGTAGCCTTACATATTGCTCTTTTTCCCTCCTTTGTTGTCACTTGCTTTTATCTGAGCCAGTTGAACTTGTTGGATAGTGGTTTAGGCTATGTCAAGTTTAATGCATCATAAATCTTATCCTTTTGAATATGAAAATCAAACTTTTTAACATACTGTAGTGAGAAATAATAGATCCTAATCTGAAATAGGACATTCATTAACACAATGTAGTTGTACTTGAAGTTCTGAATAGGTACTAGCAATTTACAAAGCAGTTAAGGTCTAACAAGATTTTACATCTTTCTAGATCTAAATATGGTATCCATTTTTCCATCTTAAACTCTTTAGTGTTGTCTTCTTCAAATACTAACTTCTTGTTCCTTAGTAAACTCTCCTCATCTCTCTCCTTGCTCATTTGTCCCTATTCATAGCCTTGCAACTTTTGGATTCTTGAAGCTAATGGTGTGCTCTCTGCTACTGTCTGATTTTGAGAGGTGTAGTTGTGTTTTTGCACAGAGGACTGTGACACTATTCCCTTGTCATTCTGGACTGTCATTTTGTAGCTGCCTGATAAGTCAACATTTTTTCCCTTTTTCTTAATTAGTCTTTCCTATTATTAGTCTGTACTCCAGGCTCTAACATAACTTGAATTCTGCTTGCATTGTGTGTTCAGTGCAGAGTTTTACATTGTTACCTGTGGTTATAGTTAATTGCTGTATTTCACCATAGCTGTGTTTGCATAATGCAATCATATGTTAATAAAAATATGGAGGATGTCTTTGAACTTTTGAGGAACTGAAATGCTGACTAGCTCGTATTGAGAATGTCTTTGAAAGAAAGTTTAAGGTGAATATTTTTTGATTTTCCTAGGAATTTTTTGAAGAGGTAGAAGATCTAAAGCATGCTGTACAGGAATGTATGAAACTGAACTATGAGTATGAAAAGTGCTTGAAACAAATAAGTGTAATGTATGGGCTTCCTTTTACAGCACATTTGTAACTACTGCTTAATTTGAGTTTCCACTTTTTTTTTTTTATACTCACTGCAACATTTAAACCTACCATGGCTTAAGTGGTACCTCATTTTGATAATGTTTTGGATTCATTAATATGATCCTAACAAGCTTCTCTGAAATGTTTTTGTATTTTGTGCCTTTGATTTTTTGTTTATATGGTTTTTAAATAAACTGTGGTCTGTATAACTTCAACTAAGTTTCAAAGCCTTCTCTTTCACACTTATGAAATACATTCATTGTAGGAGTGATTGTGGGCGTTTATGGGAATATGACAAAATCTTTGAATTTCCCAATTTATCCTTTTCTGTAAGCTAAATCAAATTAGATGTGTAGATTTGGCAGTCTTTGTGAATTTTAACACTAAGGATGTGCTAATGCAGACAAAAATTAATTTTATCATTAAATCATTGCAAAGAGGTTTCTTAAAAGAAAAATGCTAAATCTCTCCTTGGAATTTTTCTTTAATCACAATAATAAGTTAAAATATGTGGATGAAGGAAGGATTTAGGGTTCAGAATTGGAAAGAAAGTGTGTATTTGGAAGGATGGGTCAGAAAGTTGTTTTGCAGCGTCAAAAGAAGAAATCATCAGAAGCTCCTATTTGATTGAAGAGTGAGGTACTTGAAGAGCTCTGGTATTTGAAGAGCTAAAAAGGAGAGTGGAGTACAGAGAGTCACAGTTCACAAGGCAAAAATACCATGTTGCTTCAGAGCTTGGCATGAAAAGAGACAACTCCCAGTTGCAAGTTAGCTTGCAGGACCTTGTGAGATTTTGAACCTGAACTTGTTTGTAACTACATTTCACAGAAGTTTAACATAATTACATTATAGAACTGTATTTTTCTGAAAGCTTTATGAAATCTGTAGCTTTGTGGCATTGCGATGGAAGAATTAAGTGAAAACTATCATAAGGCTAGAAAAACTAAACTTCCTTATAACCTAATACAGCTTTTTCAGCTTCATAAAAATATGTGCACACTCATGAGGGGTAGGACTAGGAATAGAATGAAGATTCTTGTATCCGACTTGGTTTGTTAGGACAGTTTTATGTAGTTGTAAATTAATAAAGAAATTTACCTCAAAGCATATGATATGTTCAGAGTTACATATTGACTAAGTGACAGAGAAGGTAACTCCTTGCTTCCTGCTCTGGCTATAGAGCATTGTGTTCCCTTGTTTTATTCTCGGCTTACTTGTAAATTAAAGCTGGATAATGTTCTGAACTGAGATGGAAAAGGGAAAGAAAAGAGGTGTGATAGAAGTCTGCATTTGCAGTAAACTTGATGGAAGAAAACAAGAAGAATAGCATGTATAGTGGAAGAATTATAAGTGCAAAAATGTTTCTAACTTGTTAATAAGCAAAATAGACGTGAATGCTGGAGAAGGAATCGGTGCTAATCACTGGAGCATTTTTCCCCACAGTTTTGTGGTATAAAGTTATACTTCTAACATGTTTAAACTTTGGTCCTGTTGTTAAATTAATCAGTAATAGCCCTTGTCCACAGGCTGATTTTTAAATGTCCCACAGAATCATTCTTCAAAGATGTCGATGAGGAAAAGTTCAGGGTCTCCGCTGCCGAAAGAATGTATACATTGACTGCATAAAAAATTGTTGTGACTAGCAGAATTTTACTGTTTGCCAGCTACTGAAGATCAGAATATTTTTCATTATAAAGTTCTCTGCCCAAACAATTGAAAGTAATTAATATGGTGAAAATACCGTATTAATCACCTTTGTGATGAGCTTTTGAAACTTTTAAAACTCATTTTCGCATCAGGCCACTCACATACATTTAGAACGAGAAACAGTGAGAAATCCTTCAGTCTTTTCTCACAACTAAGGTCCTCAAGCTCTAGGAAACCGGATTCTAGTCTAATCTTAACAATGAGCCATGTAAGGGGGAGGAGTAGCAACGCACTGTGCAGTGACAGGCAGAACCACAGCTCCATCTTGCAGTGTGTGTGCAGCCTGACAGCATCACTTTTGGCCTCACTGTCACGGGTGAGAGGCTGTGGCTCTCTGCTCCTTGGGTCCCCGGATGTGAGGTTCAGATCCCTGCTGCGTGTGCTTGGTTTCCAAGTAAACCACGTTCCCTGGGATGCGTGGAGCCACCCAGCCACATTCATGGGCTGGCAGGTGGCAGAGCGAGGTGGGCAGGATTTCTCTCAACCAGTAGTAGCAGTTGCCTTTCAACTCATTCTGCATCACTGACTTTCTATGATTTTTTTTTTTTTTAATTTTCCCTTTCTGTTTTTTCTTTCACTATCAGGAACGCTGGAAATGTAGGGTGCAGATGGGAGACCTCTGGCATCTTCCACATATGTGGCACAACTCCCAGAATAGTAACAATTACCAGCAGAAATGATGGGAGAGGGAGCATATGTGGAAATAACCGGCTCTGTGGCTTTGATTGTGGCAGTTGCTGCTTGTGACTTTTGAAAATGCAGTTTTGCCTTGAAGATATTTTTATTTTCTACTAATTGCAGGGGGTTTTTTTCCTTGCATTTGATGGCATCATTTTGCTCTTGAAGATGTGATTTTTTTTTTTTTTCTTTTGGGCGTGCTTAATGCAAGTCAAACAACTTACTGGCAATTTCTGTTCAGATTAGTACTGTTTTTGTTGGAAGAGGAGACTGTCTAGGACTACCAAAGTCTACTTCCAAATTCTGGGGTAGGTGCCGTTTGTGCAGGATAAAGCCATATAAATTTGTGTGTTTAGTTAAGAATTTACCTGGTTTTTGTCCTTGTTGCTGTGTCGGGTAACAGATACTTCTGCTTTAATCTTGCCTTGGTGTGAGATGTACAGATAAGGTCTTTTTGATTTTGATTGCTAGTTAAAGTGCAGATGAGATGAATGTTAAACAAGTTAATCAGGCTTTATGTGTAGTTCCACTGTATTGTGGAATTGTGTTGTCTGGCCGGTGGTTTTCTCCAGCTAAATCACGTTTAGATAGAACTGAATTGCATGCAATTAAGTATTAGTCATGCTAATGTTAGATAATGCATATTAGAAATATTTCATGATGCAGTCTAATGATTTTTTTGTCTCGAATAAGTACTTGAATAGTGCTGATATGGGAAGCTCGTGTTTGAAAATAAGTGGCTATTATCAAACAGAGGTTTTGGTTGGAAAAATAATGTAATAACCATATGTCAGTTTTCAGTTTCCATGAGACATAAATCAAACGGGCAAGTGCATGGGAAAGTTAAGCAATTTAACTTTATTCTGTATTCTATATACAGCTGAGGCCAGAATTTTAGAAATATCCAATTTTGTGTGACTCTGTAATTTTGTCCTAATGTGCCTAACACTTCAGGTCTTAAGAGTCAAAGGCACTGAATATTCACAGTTTTAACCAAGATTTAGTCAATTCGAATGCACATGGGCTGCTAGTCTCTGAGTAGAGTCCAGTAATTGCTAACATCCTGTACATTAGTACATTAGTACTATGTTAGGATTTTTCTATTGCAGAAAGCAAAATTGCAGTCCCATTCTTGGGTGGGTGACAAGATTTTGTGGTTTTCTCTAGAATTTTGTCCATGGGCATGTGAAGTAACGTCTTTATAGTTCTCCTGGAGTCCCTTTTACTGTGCCACAGTTTACCTTTAAAGAGTGGGGTTTTCAGACACCCAGTGCTCTTCAGAGTGAGACCCTAGAGGCTGCACGTGGAAACCGAGTGATTTTACTGGAAATAAGGGTTGTATCTCTGTTCTCTCAGGTGGGACACTTGTTTCCTGTAGGCACTTCCACTGGAAAAGTGTGTTTATGTCAAGGACTGTAGAAGAAAGAGAATGGTGAAAGGGGGCATTTCCTCCTTACACTAGGAATAATGAGTTCCTTTTAAACGCTTGTAGACAAGTGAAACAATCAATAAGCCCTGTTACAATAAGCTCCTGGCTTATTGGAGTGAAGACATTTGTTTTGGATTAGCCTTTAACAGGGCAGAAAAAAAAATACTGTAGTTTCAAAAGTTACCTGCTTGGGTTACAAGCTATGCAAGGTGCAAGAAAGCAGTAAATACAGTTACCTTACCAATTTAGGTTCATTTACACACGTTTCTCTATAGCTGTAGTGCAGTTTCTGTTTCTGAGGCTTAGTTTTTTTTCTTGTTTTCCTCTTGTTAGAAACAAAGCATTGTTAGCGAGATAGCCGTGTATCTGTGCCTGTGTTCCTGAAAAGCTCCTGTAAAGTTGTTCTGGGATACTAAATTGCTTTTTGTTGTTGAAGACTGTAACAACAAGACATATTAGAAGTGCTAATGGAATTAATTTGGTGTAGTCATGTTATGTACTTGTGCCAGAAGGTGCCCTCCAGGAGTTGTTTAGGCTGGAGAAAAGGAGGCTGAGGGGAGACCTTATTGCCCTCTATAACTACCTGAAAGGAAGTGGTAGCCAGGTAGATGTTGGTCTCTTCTACCAAATAATAAGTGATAGGACAAGAGGAAACAGCCTCATGTCTGGTTAGAGGAGGTTTAGATTTGACATCAGGAAAAATTTCTTCACTGAAAGAGTTGTCCAGTATTGGAACAGGCTGCCCAGGGAAGTGATTGAGTCACCATCCCTAGAGGTATTTAAAGGATGTGTGGATGTGGCACCTAGGGACATGGTTTAGTGAGGGTCTTGACTGTGCTGGGTTAAGGGTTGGACTCAGTTTTAGAATTCTTTTGAACCTAAATGATTCTATATGGATTTTTTTGTTGTTGTTTTTGCTGCTGCCGTTCAAGCTAAGCTGTGTTGTTACCTATCTTTGACCCCTACTCACAGTGTTTTCACTGTATAGTTCTAAAAAAGGCATCATGCACCAAGATCCTGGCTGGCTTTAAACTAGTTTCCTTGGTCCTGGTGGGAGAGAGTGCAGTTCTGTGCTCAGTGGCATGACTGTCTGTGTACCAGAAGGAGAAGACCAACTTTGCTTTTTAGGTCAGTTACACATTCCCAAATCTTTCAGGGTGACAAGAAGCTAACACTGTAGGCCTTGCATGGTAGTTTTCCACAGGGAATACTGACTTAATGAATATTTTATTTTGTATTTTCTCCACAGGGATTTTGTACTGACAAAACACCCAACGTGATCCTTTGACTACTCCTAGCTGTTTTCATCCAAGAGAGGAGAACTGAGCCATTGAGTCTTATGCTGGTGCTGCAATGCTGAGCTATAGCTCGACTACTGTGAAGAATCTTCCTCTGAAGAAGAGGCTCTGTTTTCTGCTGAAACTTGTGGGCTTTGTCACCTCAGTGTTCATATTTTGTGAATTTTTAATTTATTATGTGGTGATTTTTCAATGCCGCTGGCCAGAAGTGAAAGGTGGAGCTCCCATGGGTGAAAAAGAGACTTCAGCTTCAGTCCTAAAGGCCATGATTTTAGCTGATACTCACCTACTTGGTGAAATCAAAGGACATTGGTTTGATAAACTAAGAAGGTAATTATTAATTTTTTTTAATAACCTCTATCCTAGTTTTAGTATTTTTAATAGTAGCTAATGAGATAGTAATTCACTGTTCAAATTAATTGCTGTTTAATGGAATTGTAATGCAAAAAATAAACAAGCTGGTATTACTTCTTGCATGTGTTGGTCCTGTTTGTATTGTGGTAGAATTACCAACCAGGTAAGATGCACCTACTGTACTTAAAGCTGATTTCTAAGTATTTAATTTGAATTTTGTATTATATTTTCATATTTCAGTGTGTGGAAGTCATTTTCCCTTTCCTGTTGCCAGGCTGTGTCTGTGTATTCAGAGTTGAGGATCCAGAGGTTAGGCAGTGATGACTGGCTCTGTATTTTCCTTTCAGGGAATGGCAGATGGAGAGATCTTTCCAAACTGCCTTATGGTTACTGCAGCCAGATATTGTTTTTATTCTGGGAGATATCTTTGATGAAGGCAAATGGAGCTCACCTCAGGTATGACATCATCAGCTCTCTTATTTCAAAAAATGAGGATTTCTTGAAGGAAATGGATGACAGAAGAAAGCAGACTAGGTATGCAAGGTTTTTTTTGCTACAGTTGTCCTGTTGTTGGTAGAAGTTTCTAGTCTTTTAGATACGAGTTCATTTTTGGTAGTATCTTGACAATTTTGCCCCTCATATAAAACTTACAAAATGTTAACATCTCAGTGTGTACTTCTGTATTACATAGTTGTGATGGGCTGACCCTGGCTGGATGCCAGGTGCCCACCAAAGCTGCTCTATCACTCCCCTCCTCAGCTGAACAGGGGAGAGAAAATACAAGAAAGACTCATGGGTCGAGGTAAGGATGGGGAGAGATCACTCAACAGCTACCCTCACGGGCAAAAGAGACCTGGGGAAAAATAATTTAATTTATTGCCAGTCAAATCAGAGTAGGGTACTGAGAAAATAATTCCAAATCTTAAAACACCTTCCCTCTATCCCTTCCTTCTTCCTGGGCTCAATGACATTCTCATTTCTCTACCTCATCCACCCAGCAGCGCAGGAGGATGGAGAATGGGGGTTGCAGTCAGTTCATCACATGCTGTCTCTGCTGCTCCTTCCTTCTCAGGAGGACTCCTCACACTCTTCCCCTGTTCAGTGTGGTGTCTCTCCCATGGGAGACAGTCCACCAACTTTTCCAGTGTGAGCCCCTTTCACAGGCTGCAGTTATTCAAGAGCAGACTGCTCCAGTGTGGGTCTCCTGCAGGGTCACAAGTCCTGCCAGCAAACCTGCTCCAGTGTTAGGTCCTCTCACCACAGATTTTACCAGGACACTGCTCCGGCATGGGCTTCCCATGGGGTTACAGTCTCCTCAGGCATCCACCTGCTCCAGCCTGGGGTCCTTCATGGGCTGCAGGTGGATCTCTGCTCCTCTGTGGACCTCCATGGGCTGCAGGAGGCCAGGCTGCTTCACCATGGTCTGCACCATAGGGGAATCTCAGCTCCGGTGCCTGAAGCACCTCCTCCTCCTTCAGTGACCTTGGTGCCTGCAGGGCTGTTGTTCACATACTCTCACTCCTCTCTGGCTGCAATTGCACAGTTTTTTTTCTGCCTTCCTTACTGTTATCCCAGAGGTGTTGCCACTGTTGCTGATGGGGTCAGCCTTGGCCACTGGCAGCTCCATCCTGGAGCTGGCTGGCATTGGCTCTGTCAGACACAGGGGAAGCTTCTGACAGCTTCCCAGAGAAGCCACCCCTGTAGCCCCCCCAGTAACAAAACCTTGCTGTGCAAACCCACTGCAATACTAGTGGTCCCCTTTGATACTGTGGAACAGCATTAATTTCTCCTTTTGTTTTTTATATGCAGGCATGGGCAGATGATGTCAGGAGATTTCGGAAAATGTTCAAGTATCCAGTTTCTACTGAGCTAGTGGTCATCGTTGGGAATCATGACATTGGATTTCATTATGAGTAAGTCTTGTCACTGAAAGGAGTACCCAAGTGCCAAGAATGAATGTCGGCGTGCATACAGTAACTGGTTTTGTGTCTGAGTGACCTGTTTTGTGGTTATATGGAAAGTTTTTGATCATTTTCTAATCAGAAAGGATTGTAATTTAGGGTAAGACCTTAAAAGACATCCACCTGTGCACAAAACAGGTTTCAGGCTACTTTTATGCTTCTGTGACCATGAGAAGTTGTTCAGAGCTGATCTTTCTGTGCTGGCTTGGAATCCTTGTGTTGGGCCTCCTTGTCAGAAAAGTGTTTAGTGGGAGCTATTTCCTTTCCTGTTATCTTGGCATAGAAGAGTGTGAGTGCCCTCGTTCTGCTGTGCTTGCCCTGATGGGACTGGGAAAGAGGACATGAGGGGTGTCAGAGCATCCCTGTGAGTTTGCTGAATGAATGTGTGAGCTGGATAATGGAGCAGCAAGATGAATGAATGACCAACAACCTGTAAAGCAACTGTGTCAGATGAGTTCCAATGCCAATTTCTTACGTCAGCTGTATTTTTGCTCTGTGACACAGAATGACTACTTACAAGGTAAATCGATTTGAAAAGGTTTTCAACTTGACTTCAGGAAAGCTAATAACTCGGAAAGGAATAAAGTGAGTATATTTAAATTTTTTTTCGATGTTTAGAGCAGTGATAAGTGAGCTAGCAGACCAGTGATGAAAACCAGAAGTGGAATTTCTAATGAAATAGTATGGGGATGCTTAACTTAGAGCCTTTTTAATCATCTACCTTATGATATGTTAAACCCAAAACACTTTGTACAAACCCGTAGTTTGATATACAGTGGAAGCTGTACTTTGAGATGGGTAAATGGTAACAATTTCCTTTTAAATGGAAAAGTACTGTGGAGCCAGAATCCATTTCTTTGGTTTCCCTTTATACTTCCTTGCAGCTGGTAATGAGCCATGGCTGTAAACATAAAAGGATTCATAAAGAAACACAAACCAACCTCCTCTGTGTTTACAAATTAAGAGTTTCATTAATTTTAATAACTTCTTTACTCTGCAGAACTTAAGTCGTTTGAGGAATTTGGGAACATAGCAGTTGCTTTTCCACGGTTTTCCACAGGGTGGGGTAATAATGCACAAGCTGGTTTTGGCTTGGAGTAGGGCTAGTTTCAGAGTTTGTTCTCACAGATGTGTGTCTGTGGCTGCAGTCATCTGTTGTATGCCCTGTTACCTTCAGATACCATGCAGGAATTCGGTGAGGGAAGCCAAGAGTGAGTTTGCGGAAAGGTGTTTGTCTTTAAAGCTCAGATATACGAGGGGAAGGCCCACTGCCACTCTGCATTTGGCACATGGCATATGGTTGTAATTGCTCGTGTAAAAGTGAGATTCAAAACTTGCAGTTCCTTAATTAAGCAACTGTGAAAAATATTCTCAACAGGTCTAGAAATGGTTGTGTCTATTTTAGGAAGATCTGTGAGCTTCATGCATGCTCTCTGTAAAGCTGTAGTTTATCATGCAGATGTGGGGTGCTCTAGATATGTATTTCAGCTGTTGCAAAAATAATTATTAAGGAACATCTCCACTTCCCCTTCGATAAAACAGAGCAGTGCGTGTAGTTACAGACTGCATGTCTGGTATCATGTTCATTAACTGAAATGAGCTGCACTATTAATGAAAAGTTCTGAGATAAACTATTTTACAACAAATATGTGGTATAAAAGCTTAATTTGCTAAGAGAGAATAACTGGGGGTTTTTTTGTATTGACTAGTATCTCTTAAGTGAAGGCATTCAGCTCATTTGTGTCTGTAAAACATACTGAATTGAACTGGAATATATCTCAGATCCTGAATGTGTGACTAAATGGGTATGAATCTTGTGGCAGAAGTTCAAAGGTGATTTGAAATCTACAGGGAAACCTTCTATTACAAATACAATCCTGTTTTCTGTGCTAGAGACTGCAAAGTGCGAAACTACGTTTGTTCAGGGTAGCCAGCCAAATGCAGTGTTGTTTTGCTTTTCAGTTGCTCTGAAGAAACTGAATGTCTGAAATTCTGTCTCTGAGGTCTAAAGTGTGTGTGGGGAGAAAAGTGAGTTCTCCTTTCCCTTAGAATTCAGCTTAGGGACGAACTTCTAACATTCCACTAGAATACCACTTGAATATCCATTAAAATATGAAAATATCTTGATGTGTAAACATGAAGCATAAGGTATATATTGTGCCACCTAATTAAGAACTGATTATAAAGCAGCCTACCAGACAGAGAAATGTCTACAGTGCAGATACTCAGAGGAGGATTTTTAGCATGAGATTTCAGAAGCTGTTACATTCTGCTGTTTTGTTGAGCTATGTCCAACTTTCAAACACTTGCATTTTATAAAATAAAGTTTATCCAGCATGTGTGCCTGAGCAACAAATGCTTTCCTGCCCTCCCCACTTCTCTTCACCCACCCCCTGGTCTTTTCCAGCTTTGTCCTGGTGAACAGTGTAGCCATGGACGGTGATGGCTGTGCTGTCTGCAGTACCTCAGAGGCAAAGCTTGTGGCACTTTCTCACAAACTGAATTGCTCCCTGCAGGTAAGAGTTTATTAAAGATCTGATTACAGCCAGCAATGGGATATTGCTGCTACATAGTTACCACAGCGGGGATACTGATACTGTAGCAATAATCAAGGCTAACCAAGACTCCCCTGAAAAAGATGTTTCCAATTCATATTGCAACTTGTTAGCAAATCTTTCTCCTCATTTCTCTCTTACCTTTTTTCCTTAACTGTGTTGCTTTGCACTAAGGTGTTAATTTCCTTGTCGGGGTTGCCAACAGAGGGTGTCATTTCCTCTGTTCCAAAAAAAGAAGTTCTGTAACCCTCCCTTTGATTTAAAATACATAATCCTGCATTTATGTTTATGCATATTATTCTGTTTATAGCCTTCAAGCTAGCCTATTATTTTAATTTCCTGATTCTATTGCAGTCCTGTCTTGATAGCCTAGTAATGTTTTAATTGTATTATTTTTTCATCAAATCCAGTTGCTTCTGGTATTTCATTCCTCTTCACCTTTTCATAGGCCTACTGGATGCACAGTGGGCAGCATGACTGATGGGGCTGGCAGTCAATCAGGAAACCAGGTCCCAGTGGAAAAATCGGCAGACTGTCTCTCTCGGGCTGCCCCCAAAGTCTTTTGCCTTTGTGCAGTGAGATCCTGCTGTTGCTTTCTGTGTTCAGAAAGAGCGCAGCTGTATTTACAGCATATACAGAACAGGGAATTACATCACTCCACAGCAGAGACTCTCAGAAGTTCATACAGTGGATAGTGCTTAAACATGTACTCTTAGCTGAAACTGCTTTCCCTTAAAAAAAAAAAAAAAAAAAGGCCAACAACCACCCCCTTCCAACCCCTCAAAACCTAGTTATTGCTTAATTTACCTTCACCCCTTCTATGGATTAATTTTATTCACAGAAACCAAATCATTCCAACAAAAGATGCAGTGATGTGGAAGAGCTTCCAGCTTCAGAACCCATTCTTTTACAGGTATGTTAGAGGTGGAGGGAGGCAACATGTTGACATGGGGGTTTTGTGTATTTATTACTCTTCCAGAAAGGCTGGATCATTAACAACTGGTCCTTTCTTTTAATTACTCCCAGCATTACCCCCTCTATCAGAAAAGTGATGCTGAATGCAGTGGAGAAGATTCTGCTCCTCCAGAGGAGAAGAACACCCCCTTTAAAGAAAAGTATGATGTACTGTCTCAAGAGGCATCACAAAAGGTTTGATTTATTGGGAACTTGAGTATTGGTGGATAGGTGAGAGGGGAACACAAGTGTAGCTATAAATAGATTAAAAACTTGTGGTAAGGCTGTTAGCTGGGACAAACTGACCACACCTGCTCCCGCTCTAATGAGGTCTGTGAGAGGCTGCTTGCTAGAGCGGCTCCTCTGAGAATCGTCACGATCATGACCTTGATCCTGCTGGGTTTCCCAGGCATAGGTCATAAGTCCCAACACTCTCAAGTCTCCTGCAGTGCTGATACCTCCACTTTACAATTTTGTACTTTCTGTACTGTATACAAGTGCTGACAAAGCTGGTAGAAAGCCACAGTTTTCCAATACTTTGAAAGCATTGTTTTTGCTGAATTAGTAACTGCAGGAAAATGTAAAGATAAGGCATTCCCTAAAAACCTAATTGGTCAGTAGTTTTTTACCTTCTGCATAAATGTCTTCACTCAAAGACTGTCAGTACAAAATTCTTCCTTAGACAAGAAAATAGCATTGCTTTACTAAACCCAGAGTTTTTCTACTTGTGATAGCAACAACATGTTGCCTTTGTTCTTCTGATCTGTATGGCAAAAAAAATAAAAGCCCAGTAACTTGAGATCAGGGCCAAATGGGTGTGATTAATATTGCAATACCAACACATTTCTTACTGGAAAACATAACTTTGCATAAAACACTTTGTAAGAATATTAGAATTGCCATAAATTCACTCTGTTTGAAGAAAAAAAAAAAAGGGGTTTATAAGTTACATTTTTTTTAGCTGCGACTTAAGTTGTGTGCTTTATCATTTTGCATTCTAGCTGATATGGTGGTTTCACCCCCGTTTGATTCTCAGTGGGCACACACATAGTGCTTGTGAAGTGCTGCATGCAGGGAAAATTCCAGAAATCAGCGTCCCGTCATTCAGTTGGAGGAATAGAAACAATCCTAGTTTCATCATGGTAAGTTTTAATTTTTTTTTATTTTTGTCAGATAACTTTCATAAATAAATCAACATGGCAGTCAGCTATATTTTAAAACTGATTCTACCTGTAAAAACGAAAAAATAAAAAAAAAATTGCCTACCCACCCAACCCACTCAGTACACTGCATCCACTTTATAAAGTACATCTGTGGGAGCCACATGTTCTGTGTGGTACAAAGCAATGCTGTTGAAGACCTAATTAGTATATGGGTACAAGCATCTAACATTTTCTTATAAAGAGGGTGCATTGTAAACTACTGACTTGTAAAAATAATCAGTATTGTGCACTGAACAGTAGAAAGACTAGTTTGACGTGGTTGATTTACCAACTGTGAAAACAAGACTGTATCCACCTCAGACTCTTTGCAGGGTGATGATGGTTTTCAGACTTGTGCATTAACCGCTTCACGCAGTGACAGCGTTTGTGACGTGCCCACAATCTGCCTCCTCATTGCCAATTCACATTTTATACAGTGTGTTGGTTATGCTTGTGCAGGCAGTTCCAGTGCTCAGTATATCCTTAGAGGTAAATCAATTAGTTCCCAAGTTCAAAAACAAAACAGAACTCCTAAAAACTTGGAGTAAGAAGCAAAACCTACTATCTGTTTACAGAGTAGTCTGTGACTTGAGGGGGGAATCTTTTATGTATTTTTTTACTGGTGTTGAGTTTAGGCTGCTTAATAGACAGATAACCCCAAACTTCTAAATTCATTTTATGCAACTGTTAATATTTGTTGTTGAAAGTAGTTCTATTTATTCCATATTCCTGAGAGTAGCTGCCTTCAAACTACACACATTCTCTGCACATACCAGACAGTGCATCTTCACTGCAAAACGAGAGGTTGGCTAATTAAAGTTGCATCATCTTCACTACTGTTTTAACTCCTCAGCCTCAGTCCATTGTAAACTTTAATTTGAACTGCAAAGTCAAGCCAAAACCCAATGAAGTTCTTTGTTGTTGAAGTTCACGTTTATAATTTGGATTAGCCAACGTGGTTTTTTGCAGCACGTACTGGGTAGGAGGAGGGTTCTGGAGGAGGAAGGGGCACATTCACAAAACCTAACTTTAGCTTGGAAAGGCTCCTTCCAGGTGGATTTACAGCAGCTAAAGTTAGGCTTCTCTTGAAGGCAAATCAGATGAGGAGCCCAGCTCTCTGTTTACTCTAGATGGGAAGATTGGCCTCTGGGCTCGTGTTGGCCTGGTGAATATTCCAGTTAGTGCCCAGCACCGCAAGGTATGGACTCTTCAGCCCCCTGGAGAAGGCACTGGTACTAGGAAACTGGCCCCAACCCTTGCCACCCAACATAGGATTTAGAAATTGGAGATCTGACAGCCGTGGTGTTTACTCCTGATTTAGAACCCACTGTAACACAGCAAAGTGACAGTCTTCATTTCTTTTCCAGGGCAGCATAACACCAACTGACTTCTCCCTCCAAAAATGCTTCCTTCCATATGAGAGCAGAGTCTTTACTATATACTGTGCAGCAGGTGCTCTGTTTGTGATCCTGATACTAGCTCATGTTCAGCTTCTCACTCCACTGTTTTATTTTGCTCAGCGTTTAATCAGTAAGCATAAAGCAGTATGAAGAGCCAGACATCTGCATTCAGTCACTGAAATACCAAAGCTGAGAACAGTCAAACATCAGACTATATTCATGCCAGCAAATGACCTAATTTGATTGCTAGTCTGAAGGCAGGTTGCATTTATACATACCATAGAAGTCCTATACAGCTGATATGACTACTACAGGATAAATAATTAACTGAAATGAACGTTTCATGCTGTACAAAAATACTGTATTCGACAATCAAATGAGTCCTTTTCCTGCTATAATTTTTGTATCAAATATGTATATTAAAAGTGTAACTGTACATTATGTAAATCCTATAGCCTCATCACTTGTCTGCACTAGTGTCTTACCCTGGTGGAGGCTGAATCCTGCAAACTGGAAACGTTTCTCTGTTTTATTGCTGCATGGCCCTTCTAACGTCATGCTTGTGTTCTAGGGTCAGGCAGAAACTAGATGCATCAGCACTGAGAGATGCTGATTTCCATAACCTTTTTAGGGTGTCATTTGTAAGGGGACTGTGGTTTGGGACAAGAGAGCTTCTGGTTCTTGACACAGTAAATTGTTAGCTGACTGTAAGTTGCAGTTATCGTCTACCAGACAACAAAGGGAAGAAGCTCGTGGATCCAGTTTGCTGATACACACTTAAAACCTGCTTAAAAAAAATTAGGGTGACACCTCAAGCTGCTATTTTCAAAGAGATGTGCTATGATGAGCTTAAAAAAAGAGGGCCCTATTGCATCCCAGAGATCTGTGTGGTGAGGGGCCCTCCTGTTTCTGATCTCCTGCAAGAAGGGAGGTCAAATACAGCTGCAGTAAAATCATCCTATGCCTTGGCCCTCAGTCTACGGACAGGTAGGGATAGAAGTGCATGTTATTTTAGATTCCTGCAGGGTGCCAAGTCCTGTTGACTTTGTTGTAATGTCACACGTTGAACTGCACCAGAGGCCGAGGCCACCAGTTGTGCCACAGGCCCCAGCCTGGGGGTCAGCACGGAGAAGATAAAATCTGAGCTCAGCATCTTCACTGTGGGAGGGAAGGTGGACAAACCTACTGCTGCTCCCCACCTGCCCTGGAAAAAACAGAGGGACTATTTCATACCAGAACCAGTTTTCCTGCTGATGTTCCTGCAGAGGCTGGGAGCTCTAACCTGAACTTCTGTGCTGGAGATAGTTTAGAAAAAAAAGACTACCTTTTGTTATTCGCTCTATTACTTTCTTTGGCATGGGAAAGAAGTGAGAGAATTTTGGGAATTTTGTTTACTATTAGCTTATTCCACCCAGCCTTTCACTTTTTGGGAAATATAACAAAATTGAACATAACACATTTCTGGGAAAAGAAATGGTCATATTATGGTATCTAAAATGGGACTGTTTTATACTTAACTAGAAACAAGTTCTCAACTGGTCTGTAGTCTGAATTTAAAAAGAGGTCTGATTGGGGTTTATAACTAATAATGATACTTAGAGTAAAAAGTTAATAAAACCTAATAATTTTTATGCCAGTGTGGGGGACTGTGTTAGCTCTTAATCTCTCCCTAAATTTAAAATGGAGTGGGGGGAATGGTCCGAAGTGTGGTAAAACACTCTATAAAGTAATGTAGTCTAACATTTCTCTAGGTTTCTGTTATTGCAACTGTAATTTTAGACATTTGTACAGGTTATCTTGGACACAGGAAAAGTATATAGTCACAGACATAAAACACCTATGTATAAAATATAAAGCAGTGTTATAGTTACTAAAAAGGACATGCCTTATTGCTACAGCAATTCTTGCTTTTTATATATTGTACTGTACCACAACTTGTTTTGAGAATGTCATTTGCATAAATTATTCAAGTTTGAGAAATATTCACACATTTTGATTCTACAATATTTAAAATAAAACAATTTTCTAATGTGTCTCTTTATTAAAAGAGAAATAAAAATGTCATCTTGTAATTCTCTTAGGCCAGACACAAGGGTTTATACACCTTTTTTTTTTCTTATCTTCTTTCTTGATATTTACTTGCACAATGAAAGCTGCTGTTGGTACAAAGATTGAAGAGCTCTATATAATGGTGCTTTACACATTCACAATCGGTCTGTGCAATTGTGAAGTTCTATGAATGACCAAAGAATTACCAAACATATTTTCTAAATATAAAGGACAAAAAAAAAAAAAAAAAAAGGAAAACTAAATCCTTGGTTCCCATTAAAACAACACCAGGTTGCAATTTGGACACTTGAATGAATTCCAATGTTTTAAAGCTGAGACTTCAAAAGAGAAAGGCATGTTTGCTGCAACATCCGGTGACTGTAATACCTTACTTGGAAAGGTAAGTGGTTAATTTGCATAATTTATAATTTTTATACTAAAGAGCATTTTTATATAAACCAGAAAAAAACCCCTAAACTCTACAGATAAAGTTCTTACCTCCAGTCACTGCTGAAGGTAAGGTTGACATCAAGCTGTACAGCGCAATCAAAAACATACTTACATCTTAGCTCATTTTACAGGTACAGCCATAATCAAGGCACAAAGATCTTCTACAAGTATTTTTCTTCAATAAAGTTGTACAAAATAATATTACATTTTACAGTCTGTACAATATAATAAACCAGCAATAAAACAAAAAATATATATATAGGGAGAGGACTGTTGTCCAAGAATGATCGGAACTAAAAGGATCATTTGTGGACAGCACAAATAACATAAGTGAGGGTGGTAAATTTTCTGCCTAGATGCAACAGGCTGAAAAGTAGCTGTAATTCAAATGCCTGAGGTGTGCAGAGACACTTAGCTCCAAAACCCCAGAAAAATTGCTTTGTCTTCACTGTTCCTCTCATTATCTACTCTACTTCCTGTGCCAGTAACGGCTTAAAAGAGGAGGTCACTTTATCAGTTGACCTGCAACTCAGAAATGCTAAAAACTGTGACAGAGTAATAAATATTGTGGTGCTGCTACATTGTGTGTCTACTTCCTCAACAGTATTTAATAACCTGATACAAAGTGCATTAATCTTTTTTTCACCCATCAAGTACTCTTCAATGTCATGTTCAAAAGGAAACCCACACAGAGGGATAGGTATGACTTTAGTGTCATCCAGCTGACATACCAGTTTGAACTGAGGTTAACCCGCTGGAAAAAATTTAGCAGGTCACGTTCAGTTTAAAAAAACAAAACCTAAGGGAACAGAGGTAGCCGAGGGGCTTAGTGGAATGACGAAGAAGTGGCATGTCAAAATAAAGCACAAAAATAGTCCCAAAAAGCATGAAGGAAAAATAACCCAAACTTGCTTCAAATCAGCTTTAAGGTTAAATAATTAAAGTAAACAAAGTGAAGAGACTGACATTTCTATAGTATATTCTTCCACCCTGTGTGGGGTAGTATCAAGAGAAAGAGTAAGGAGCAAAGAATTTAAAACCACAGGTTCCACGGTGATCCCCCTCACAAGAGTTCGTACTGGCGGAGATGCATCCTTTGAATGATGTCTCGACAGTCGTTGAACACTCTGCGGATATTTTCTGTGTCCACTGCACATGTAAAGTGTGGGTAGCAATAATGCCGGCCATCTCCACTCGCTGTACTTATCCTCTGCGGAAAAGGTAAGGCAAAAAAAAAAAGAGTCAGGTGCTGTGCCATGAGAAGTTTCATGTCTCAGCAGGTTATAGACTTAGGGAGAACCAAGGACCCTGGGAGATTCTGTATATAGATCACTAAAGTAGGTAAATAAGAAGGAAAGGCTGTGATCTGGTCCAATATGAATGACAAATTTGAAATGAAGATTAAAAAAAAATTACGGAGTTATATACTTACAGGGTCAGTATATCAGTACTTTGTGGGAGCCACTGATGCCATCATCAGTTTCACGAGCTATTACCATTTGCACATCGCTGTGCAGTTACATCTGTGCCGCTGACAGCTGTGCAGTCTGCCATGCAGCTGTTCCAGGAATTATTTTCTCTTCTTTTCTGGTGCCATCATGTGGCAAATTTTTGAACTCTTGTTTTAAATCAGCAACACAAAACTGAAAAGTTGTTAAGCCAGCAGTGGCAGAGAACAGCATCCTGCTGCTTCTGCTTCTTGAAGCTGAAGGCCCCTGAAGTTACCTTCACTTAGAGCACTTATTAATCCATCACTGAGCCCAGAACCTGATGGAATTATTACCAGAGTGGCTGGGTTCCCACAGAGTAATAAAGCATGCACAAATCCAGTTAGCATGAGAGCATGCAGAGTTGCATTTTCTCAAGGCTACTGCACAACTTTTTAGGTTCTAACTTATCCTTCAGCATCGCTTCCCCCATTGGTTATCTTGTTAAAATTCCCCAAGATCTTAAAAAATATTAAAGAAAAAACCCCTTAATTTTGTTCTGTATTCCTATAGGACTGATAAACATAAATCCATTCTAGATCATTATCTTGGAGAATACAGATGGAATGTTATGGAAGCAGAATGTCAGTTCTTAGGATAGTAATTTTATAAAGATTTTCTAAATTCTATTACAAAATTACACTGGCTAAACAACAAAAGACACTGTTTTATCTTACCCTGGCTACATTATATATTTTTAACAAAGTGATTTATTTTACATGTAGGATTGACCTTTTAAATACATGCAGCTACAGATATGCAATACTACAGACGTTTAGAAGACATGATTTACATAATTAGGTCAACAAGAAATTGCAGACTTTTGCAGGTAACTTAGGTAAGATTAGATATTCAACACTGATTACACAGGGGTATTCCATACACTTTCTATGAATTATTTCCTTTTTACTGTGCTCCATTCAATACCTAGTTCAAGGCTTACTCTCATGAAAAATACTAATAAATATTTGCCTGTGTTTATCATGCACTGATGTCTATGGCAATCAAATGCCCACAATGTTCTGGTGACACCTGGTTACATAAACAGCATGCCAAAGGATGTATTTTCAAAATATTAGGAGTTTGTCTATTTTTGTCACCTGACAGCTCTGTAGTTCTCCCGTTTTAAGACAAAGGCAGTATTTGAACCCCTACGCAAAACTCATTTTGAATAGTAGTGTGTTACTTAGCACCAGTTCAGAGGGTGAAAAAACCCAAACCCTGAGACAGCAGTGAAAGAACATTCACCTTCCACGTGGGAGTATTTAATACCAGTATTTAACACCCCTACACTGCAGGGGTCAGGATGGCAGTTTCCAGCGAGGAGCCATATGCACGATTTGAGGAAGCCTGGTCTATGCGTTTGAATAGCAGCTCCTTCACCTCCCAGATTCAGATTTTTTAAAAGCCAGCATGAACTAGAGTGGCCATTCCACTGTTTTAACAGGGGTTGCCTACAAACTGGGGATGTATTCAAACAAAACATCAGCAGCTGGAGAGCCCTGTGTACAAAACACCGAAATGGGGCTAAGGAGTAGCCTCAACAAGGAGTGCACAAGCCCGTTGCCTCCATGAAGAGTCTGGGAGGAGAAATGATGTGCCTCAGCTAAAGGATGGAGAATTTCCTACAAGATACATTTCCAGGACTTGGAGATGTGCTTGCCAGCCCAGCCCTGAAGTGCATGAGCCCTGAGCTGGGCATGTGCCCAGCCAGCCCTCACACGCTGCTCTCCTGACTGAAATCCAATGGTGCCCATCTTTGCTGCCCAAGCCCCCAAGGGCCACGCGCCCCCACACCAACCCTGAAATCAGGAGCTGACGTATTTTGCCTTTCTGATACTCAGACACTACCATGTAGCACTAGTTACTGGAAATGTGGTCAGTTTCAACCCCCTTCTAAAATTAGCCAAATTACATGCTTTAAATTTGCCAGTACCATTGACTACGGCCTGGCAGAGTTTTAGGGGGTGCAGCACCATGGTGGTACTTTTCACACGTATCCATAGCTTATGCAGACCTGCTACCATGCCAAAAATCACAATAAAGCATAATAAACCCAGATTTCTTCGAATCATCAGACCCCTCCCCAGTCTGTACCGAGCTTATTTTCTCTGTTCCTTTTGTAACTCCCTCTGAGACCTCAGTCTTTCTTGCCTGACCCCATGGAACTGGAAGTCACCATTTCTACTTGGCTTTCTCCCCTACTCACTCTCTCCCGTTACCTGGGGCACACACAGCCTGCTCTGCGGGAGGGGTTGATAGCACGACTTTCAGTTCAAACAGTCCAAGAGCATAAAGCAACCAAGCCCAAACCCAGGAGACACACGTTATGGAGGAGATGCTCTCTGCCAAGCCTGCAGCAGTGGCAGGCAAATGGGGGAACCGCTGTTTCAGCCCCACACTGGAGCCCCAGGGACTGCCTGGCAGGTGCTGGTCCCAGCTCATATGAGTCCCCCGCCCCCAGCAACCGTGGTGGTTTTTTATGTGATTGCAATGCCTACATCCCCTCCCCTATCCACTTCATAGGTGGCCTCCTTCTGTAATGCCAGTGAGTCATGGTAGGTAAGGACCTCGCCCTTGATATGTTTTTTTAAATAATGAAAATAGATAAAGGTGGGGAGTTTCACCCTAGTTTCTCCATAATTCAGATCTCTTAGAGCCACCCTGCTTCCAAACTGGATGCTCTCACCTGCTTCACAGTATTTCAGCATTACCACAAGAGAGATTTGGCCTGAAGTGAGGTTTTTTTGGTAACTCTTACGTTAACAGTGTAATCTGACATTTTTCCTCAGAATCCGGAAGGCTAAGGCAGTGAATGGAAATCCCCAAAGTGTGAACACAGTTAATTGCTTCTTTCTTTCTTGGTGCGTCAACAGCTGTAAATCCTAACAATACTTGTAAATACATAATGACTTTAAAATGCTTAATTCTAATGAATCAATTTGTTATCTCAAGCACACACATATAGTTTCTTCTAGTAGGGTACGACGGATGAGCTTTGGTTCTGGTCTCTGTTACTGCTCTGCACTGTGGGAACAACTCACTATGAGTGAAGCCATAAGTGATGCTGGATTAAACCCCCTGATTCTGACAGAAGAGCTGGGCTGTGTTCGTGTGCCTGGTAACTGCTTTTATCTTCAAAATTTAGACAACACCTCTTCAGCTCCAGCTTCAGAAGAAACCTCAATTGCAAGAGTAAATGTGACTAGACAAGGAAACTTTCTTATGATCCCTCAGTAGGGTCATGACACTAGTCATAGGGTGAGGCAAACCTCCTAACTGGCACACCAGAAATCTTAAGAATAAAATCATAAAATCTACTTTTTTTTTTTTCAATCCCTCTTGCCAGCTGACCACTGCCAAAGTCCTTGGAGAAATGCAGGAAAGAAATAAAAAAGCCTGTTTGCTTACACATGGACTGTACATGACCATTCTGAGCACTAGCACTTACTTGCTGTGTGACACTTTCTATGGCAGGTGACTTTATATAAAATAGGCATAAAAATGCGCAAGCACTGAGGAAGGTTCTGCAAGATGGGCAGCTGAAAAGAATTAGGAAATTGCCAGACGTTGTCCTCTCCTTCTAGCTTTCTGCAAAACCCCATCAGTTTTCCCTAAATAAACCATGCCATCTGTCAGTATTTCCTATGATAGAATCACACATAAGATGAAAATTACTCACTAAAAACTCATCCCGGATGAAGAACTTGGCTCTTGTGACTTTGGGGTCTTCTCCTGCATCTGGTGTTGCTGTTCAATTAAAAACAAATGATATCAGAAACATGAAAAGCAAACAAGCATCTACTTTTTGTAACAAAAGGGTTAATAAGGAGGAAGTAGCCCTTCAGTACAGAAATTGAAACATTAAATATCTACAGGAGATTCCCAGTAGGTAATTCTAAAATGGAAGGGTACAGTAAAACCTGACTATGCATGCAACATATTTTAGGAACCTGAAAATTGCCGAGATTGTTGCAACAATGTCATTGGTCATATCACAAAAAGGCTTACTCACATCCACAAGTTTGTTCATATAGATACAAAACAAGTGGGAGTTAGGGTTCAGCTTTTATCAAAAAAAGCAGCTGAGCTGTTCAGTTTCTGCAGCAGAACAGCATCTCCTGAAGAAAGGTTCTGCAAGGCAGGGTTTTGGGTTTAAAAATGGTTAGTCCAAGATTACATTCAGAAAAAATGATAGCATCAAAAGATCTTTTGATATATATGTATTTTATTTCCAGGCCCCTAGTCAGCAGAATACTTTAGATGCACTGTCCATCAATCGGCCTTAGACTAAATTGTTGTTGAGCAGGGAACTCGTTACTCGTTGGTCAGTACTGTTTGTTGGCAGATGAAGTCGTTGCTATCCAGGCCATGCAACAACTATATTTACTTAAGCGTAAAAAACAATATGTTGAAGAGATAACCTATTCATTTCCTGTCAGTGTGATCCCCCCTCATCTAAGACAACAAATCAGATGCTTGTAAACATAATATGGTAAAGGCCAGAATTTATCAGAATACGGAAACGTATCTTTTATCTACAGCACTAGGGGTAAAAATAAGAGCAGCAGCACAATCAACAGCATCTTGGAATTCTGTGCTGCACGCCCATGACGGCTGAAATTAAAGAATAAATGAATAACTATGGGTTAAAAATAGACAGCTGCTTCATATGTGGATGCTTTGGATCACTCTAGATATCCACTGTGAAATCCCTCTCAGAAACACCAAAAGCTACTTTATTCTGTTAACTGGCTTAGTATAAAAAAGTGCTGAAAATTCACTCAAACTCTGTTTACATGATGTATGTTTCAGAGAGGGAAATTTAGGTGATGGAGATAGATTTCTTCCAAAAGTCCTTAGCATTGCAAAACTGGTGCCAGGTAAAGTCAGATTTTAGGACAGTTTATTTATCCTCTGCACCTGAAACTCAGAATCACACTCCTGAAATTCCAGACCTGAACGAAAGCTGAAAATAGCTTATTAGCATCTTCACTTCTATAACCTAGGCTGCTGGTGGTAGTTGGTGTAGAATGAAAGCCTTTTGTGACAGGTGGCTGCAAGCACCACACCAGGGTCATCACTCAGGTCAGGCAGATGCTAGTGGTCAGGAAGTGCAAATTTTACCACATTTGCTGGACACAGACCTAAGACATTTGGGAAGCCCTCTGCATGGTATAAAACTGGCATAATACTAGAGTTTACTTATGCAATATGTTATTGCAGTGCAGGAATCATTATAATTCTTGAAATCACAAGAAACCGAACCCATGTTCATTGCTTCATTGTCACAGCTCTCTTTCTATTTCTATTTGATGTGGTTTTCCTCCATTAAAGTTCCCTTTCTGATCTGCTTCCAGTATTTCAAAGAATTTCAAAGTCAGTATTTCAAGTATTTCAGAGACTGAAATTTACAGTGTTGGAGGATGAAGAATGCCTGCAAAATAAGTCTAATGAATCCCTAACAAAGTTCAGCACCAGGGGATGCCCAGACAGAAGCATCTGGCAGGGGGAGAGATATGCCCAGCAGCTTTGCCTTCCTGGGACTGGTGGTTGCTCCCAAAGAGGGAAAGGCAGGTGTTCTGGAGCCAGACCCCATATTCCTCCCACAGCAGCCAGAATCCCTTCAGACCCTGCCCACGCTAGGGTATGCCTGAGCTACTCTGCTGGCACGCTCCTTGCCTGACCAACAGTTCATGTTAAGGAACAGTGTGTGCTTGTGAATTTGTGTGTGTGAGAGAGACAGACAGATAGAGAGAGGAACTGTGGGCTGGGCCATGCCAGCAGGTCCAATCCCAGCATGGGGAGAAACCTTACCATCCTCAGGTACAGTATAATGCGCGTATTCAGGAAAGTAATCTTCAATTTTTGATTTCCCTGCCAAGACTTTTTCAGCCAGCATGTCCTGTTTATTCAAGAATAAAATGATAGAAATGGTCCGTAACCACCTGCCAAGAAAAAAACAAATGCTTGTGTTATCTCTGATGAGATAACATATGTTAAACGAGGAAAACATATCATGTCACAGAAAATTTACTGGCTATCCCTGTGTGGACAGAGTGTGAAGTAGCGTGGAACATGCTTCAACAGAAAAAAAAAAAGATGATCTAAATGATAGTTTCGATCGGGTTGCACCTGTGCTGGTGACTACATTTCTAGGATCAGTAAATACATTTATAAAAACTGCAGTGGACATTGCTGAAGGGAGCAGTTTTCAAATTTTTTTTTCTAAATCATCCTTTAGATATAAAGTTGGGAAAATGATAACAGTTTCTAAAAGCACTACAGTCCACAAACAGACATTACCGTGGTAAACCAAACCATTGTTTGGTTTTGATGAAGCAAAAAAAAAAAAAGACTGGAAAGCTGCCTTCCCCTATACTGCTCTGTCTTAACTATTGTTCATCAACACAGTTATTCCATCTTTTAGGGTGGCCTGTATGACACCAGAATAAAAAGAAAATAATCTCTCTTTTCTTCCCCAATTAATCCATCACTGTAACGACGTGCCTTTGGGACTTGCAGTTAACATTCTTCCTCATTCCATCTTCAATCACTTCTCAGTGCAGAGCATCCTCACAGGTATGTGCTGAAAACTTCATCACCTTATTCTGTGTACTGTTTTTACTTATTCCCTATCAGGAACCTGTTTGGATTGCTATTTGGTTAGGTATCTATGATTTACATGCACTGTGACAGAATGGCAACTTAATGGCAGTTACAGTTAGATTAGACCTGAAATACCATCCCACAAGGCAGAAATACCATGTGCTCTCAGAGAAGAGCCTTATGAGAGTAGCTGCCCACACGGGGATCGAGTGCAGCAGCAGCCCAGGAGGGAATTGAATGCAACAACAACAGTTCCCGCCGCTGTGTTTGAGGAGGAGACCAAATGTTATTCTGAGGATCTCTCAGTCTCGGCCAAGCAGCACAGTGACACCAGGGAGGGGTCTCTCCTGCTTCCCTTGTAGCAGCCAGTCTGGAGGGCTTGCCTTTTCCAAGCTGTCCCCACGCACTGCACCATTTTGGCAGGAGTGGTGAAACATCACGTGCACCATCGCTGTGCCATGGCCCCTGCCAGGGAAGGGTGTGCACCATGGGGGCACACTGCGACCTGGCCCAACCGGGATAGTTTCTGAATAAACAATCTGAGCATATAGTAGGGGGAGTCCTGTTTTGCAAGGAGTTTTGAACTGTAGTTAAATTGGGGAGGGGGGGTGCGAAATGAGGTTTGCTTTACCTGTTATTCCAGATACTTTTGAAAAGGTCCAGGGATTCCCGTAGTCTATTTGTGTTATTGTCTTCCCTTATTACCATGTTGTAGCTGCTGCAAGCCACAACGAAGATGATAGCTGTGACATCTGTGCAGAGCACACAAAAGAAAGAAAGAAAAAAAGGAGAGAGAAGAGAACATCTCTGTTATCCCAGCAAATACTCCTCAGGGTAACACTGCCATTATTCCCCAGTCTGCCAAAAATACCAGAAGAAAATATCTGTAACACTGGACTCCTGTACTAGTGAGATACTATGTGTGAATATGAATAATAAGTTGTTCACACCTCAGAGAGTAAGTCCAAAATAAAAACATGGAATATTTTTACTTACCATTAAAGCATTGGATCCATTTTCTTCTCTCATCTCTCTGGCCACCTACATCAAACATGCTGTTAAAAAGCCATAGGATGTTATATCATTTATGTGCACTAGGAAAACCACACAAAGCACGCAGGATAAGGGCTTAGCTAAAAATCTGACAGCCCCAAGGACAGAGGCAGTAAAATATTGCCTGAAGAGGAGAGAGATCTGCTGATGCTGTGCTGCATGTTAGAGACAGCTGCACAGCTCCACCTGTCCTGCTCTGCCAGGAAAAGACTACTGAACCCATAAAATGATAAATATACTCTTCAAGGGCACAGAAGTGCATAGGGCATGTAAGACTGGACCCACATACTGTAAACAAGGACAGGTTTCAGGGTATTTTGAAGGGTGATGGGGAGAGTGCATCTCTGTAAGGAGGAGGACATGGGAGCAGCTCTGCCCTATCAGAGCTGCCACCTTTCTGGGCAAGAACTGGTGAATGAAGGCAGCCTGAGGGTGGATGTTTTACAGAGATACAGCGTAAAACTTCAACAAACACAGAGCTAGTAGCCCTCTGGAAGAAGGGAGAATTCTCACTGAGCTCTTATACCAAAAGGTATGAGTTTACAATGCTATACCAATGAACCACTTTGTAAAAGCAGCCACACGCAAGCTGACAATAAAATATTTCTAACACACATAACTAATATCAGCTCTTTTTGCAAAGTATGAGGCAATTTTACCAGGACCTATGGAAAGAGAGCTAAAAAACCAAACCAACCAAATAAAAAACATCCATTCCCACCATAAGCCTACTATACCAAGAATACATGAGCATAGACATCTGAACGAAGTTGGTAAAAATTAGTATGATATTCATAAATTATTATTAATAGACTTACTGGAAATTTACTTTATCTACTTGAAATCTTGTTTCAAAAATCCCTGATGTCAACACTCTGCATCTTAATAGGTCCTGGAAATGAGAACACAGAAGGTGATTAGTAAGGCTTTTTTCTAACCTAATTTTGCTTTTAAAAGCTTGGAATACTATTTTCCATGAAAAGTCTTAACCGTTTCATTTAATTAAGGTTCAATCAAACTTTTTGGTAAATCTACATTTGTCCATAATGACACAGTGGATAAACACAAACCATGATTCATTGCATTCAGTTTTTGCACACTCAGAAAGAAGGAGACTCGATATATGTTCTCCTTACTGCCCATTGAAACCTGTTCTTGATGGTCATACAACTTAATATGAGATGCAGATAATGAATTCTGAAGTTACATAGAACTAAGAAAAATTTTATTCATGTTGTAAAGTCAAGCATTCAAATGTTAGAAAACTCCAGATTTACAGTTGCCCAGGCAACCTTAACTCTGCCCTCTTTTGTATTGAATGAGACAAGAATCCTATCGAAATAATAACTTGTGACTGAGTAATTAAAGCTCTATTACAGAGCACAAGGGAACAGAATTTAGGTTGTACAGAAATGTGGCATTTCTTTCTTATTTTTCAAACTAGCAATACTTTACAACTTAACTAATTTTCTTTTAATAATTAAAAGATAGTAATTTCCTCGATTCTCAAAGGAAGTGGGCAAAAGCAATTTATGATGCATACCTCAGGCAACTAGCTCTCCATGTGCCACTGTCACCACCAGCAGCACTTTTAACCTTGACTATCCAGTGCTGCCACTTGGGGAGTCAGTGTAAAACAAAATCAGAGGCCGGAAAAAGTTGCCAGTTGCCTGATGGGGATGAACCCCCCAGAGCAGCCACGGCTGCCTGCTCTCAGAACACTCTCCTTGCTGGGGAAAGGGAAGGGCTGCTTGGTCCAGCTTAGCTCTCCTTGCCATGCAGCAGCTGTGAAAGTGCAGATGGAAGGAGGCAGCCAGTGGTGCAGAGTACTAGCACAGCTTGCCTTTTTCCCCTATCCATCTACTGCTTGAAGTACTCTGGTATCTGGCAAATCTTGGCTGCTTTGGCAGCCACATGGACTCAGCTGAAGGCCACTTAATTAATTCTTTTAGTTATTTTATATGTTACTGTCATTTTCTGTCACTTGCTGACATCTATTTGTTCTTGGACTCAGTTGTTATTTTGGATGGTGCAAAAAAAGTTACAGAAAGCAAGAGGAAAGAGGAAATTAGGGATTTTTACCAGTTAATTCAGCAAGACAACTGATACAGCATAATGGGATGAAAATAAAAGCAAAAGAGAATCCCCCCTTTAGAGCAAAAATGTTCCGCCTGCCAAATAACAATGGCCTCTTCTGATCTTCGGAGACACAGGGCATTTCTTCCCAAAGGAAATTATTTGGAAGAATTTCTAGATGATGAATGACTGCTTCAGGTAGAGAAAGGCCTCCCAGGAAGAAACAGGGCAACACTAATATAAATCATGAAAGCCAAAATTAGGCTTTGCTTCACTGACTTCTCTCTCCAGCTGAGTGATATCGATGCGAAAACCATGAGGTTCTAGATGGAGTAAATCCCAGTGCTACTGCTTTGCTCTGAAAATGTCTTGAGGGCTTTAATAATTGATCCTGTATTGGGTTGACAGTACAAGTTTCACCTTATAATACAACACGTGTTACTTTTTACTGACTTCTGTTTCAGAATACAGTCAGAGTAATTGTACATGCTTGTGGTGATAGACCTAAACCAGGTCTGAAGGAACAGGCTCTGCTCCACGTACTTCCTCAGGTGATCTCTGTCAAGTCGCTTCACTTCTCTGAATTTCGGTCCCTGATTGCACAGTGAGATTTGGCAGTTGTGTTTTTTTTAAGGGTATCCATATGTTATACACCTTGCATGGTTAGACCAAATTATCCAGTGCAGGGATTCTCTTCTGCCACCTGTATTTGCAGTTTATGACGTGGCCCACAATCTTGGCTGAGACTGCTAGATGACAGTGGGATAGCAGCACTGAAAAATAAAGGAACATTTGCCGAAGAGACATCCTGCCCAAGGAAATTACACAGCCAGAGCTCAGGGAAAGCAGCCGAAGACGTGCAACACAGTGAAACCCTTTCTTACTTCAAGGCTGCACCACTTCAGCCTTAACATGAATGTGTTTGTCATTAGAGCACTCTTATCAAGATGTATCATGGCATCTGGGAAAAAACATGTCTTGTCCTGCAAATAAGGCTTAAATAGAAACTATGCTGCCCATAGGAGATGGGCACAGGCAGGAAAGAAGAAATCTGCATGCCTGCAAAGAAGTCCACAAAGTTTGCTGCTGCCACTGGTGCTCTCCCCTGAATTTGAACACTAGATCCACTGCAAGCTTTTGCCTCTGAAGGACCCTTCTGACGGACATGCGAAGTCTCCCCCTGGGATCACCTCCACCATTGAAATAAAGCATTGCTGTGTAGCAAAGGCTTGTGAAGGAAACAGTAGGCTTTTACATTTATGCTTTCTGTTCTCTCTTCCATTCAATTTGTTTGCAGGACATAGAATGGGAAGCAAGAAGAAATAACAGATGTATTACAGGAATCACCGACCTACATATAACAACAGTAAAAGACAGGCTTGCACCACCAAAAAGCCTCTTCTTCTTTAATATCCATTACTTAAACTGCTAGACCATATTTTGATATTCTGCCGTATGGCCTATTTCAGCTGCAGCTGGGACTAAAATAAATTACACAGAGCACCCAGATGAATGAGAGTCTTGGTTCAGACCCTATCCCATTAGTTATACTAACCTGATCTGTGGGCGTGTAGTCATCCATGCTGACGCTGTCAATTCTTTCTAAAAAGCTAGAAGAAAAATAAACATGCACTTAGATATGTAAAATACTGTCTAGTAGAAGACTTTTCACTACCTTTTCTAGTTTAGACTCCCACTGTGAAGTAAAACACAACATGAATGGTAAAGTCACGAGCCTTCATGTTTTCCTGTATATTCCTTTAGGCTACATTTTTTAAGCCAAATAAACATTTTACCCAGGCTTTGTTTCAATACAACACTTTTACACTTACCATTATGCAGTACCCACAAGCGGGTCCAAAATGCAGTTAAAATGTTATAATTTTGTGAGGTCCACTAAAAAATACTACAACTAACCATATGCCATAACATCATACAGTTGTTAAAAGAGATTCTGGGGTTTAAAATAGAAAATGCAGTGAAGGGGTGCTTTTATTTAGCATAATGCTAATCAAGTATAATGTTATGTTAATTATGGTCTCAGTAACATTAGCAGAAATGCTTGTTAGCATACACAAATAGGTTTGGACTGATGTGATGCCCTCCAAGCAACAACTAAAGCACAAAGTGGAGAGCAAAACTGATAGAAAGTGGATGCTAATGAGTCTGATTCTTTATGTCACAAAAACTCAGTGAGATGCATAAAGTGGAAGAAAAACTTACAACTGCCAGGAAAGGCAAGAGAAAAGAGAACCAGAGCAAAAGGGGGGAACTACATTCTATAATTAATTAAAAGATTTTTTTAAGCTTTATTTACTTTCCTAACACATGTTAGAATGGCAGCATTTAAGGACATAAACCCATGATTTTGTATTTATTGCTAAAATAGGCAGGTTCTACTCTCTCACTTCCACCCATTTCTTAGATCTCATACGAGCCTAGCTGGCTCATTTTCCCCAGACTTAGAAGCTTTCTTGAATATCTGCACTGTTATTTGGTATTTGGCAGTGAATATCCCACCAGCTGATACATCCAACTACAATACTATCAAGATTTCTTTATCAAAAGGCAGGTTTTCCTCAACTTTACTTGAGTGTACATGCGGAACATGTCACACTTAATTGTGGTGGGAAAGAAAAAAAAACCCAGTGAACTCTTGACTCAAAATGTGACTCACTGTTAACACAGGGGTCACATACACTGCCCAGTTGAAAAAATACCCCCCTAAAAGCCTGTTTGTAATTCTCATAGCACTTTCTCACGGATATGAACTGAAAGTAAAAGAAAATGCGCTGCATATATATTTACTTATACTATTTGTCCTTTTCAAGCCTCCACTGGTACAGACAGGAAACAAAATGCAGCATCTACAGCTAGAATATCCAGCTTTTCTTTCTGGATGATCAAGGTGTGATGGTTAAGCATAGTGTTTAAAAAAAATAAATCTCTCTTTAATGCAACACAATGGATGCGTCAGAACAACACTATATGGAAGGAACTCTAAAGAAAAAGCATCTTTTCACAAAACCTCCTCCCTTGCTAAAAGCCCCATAAACTTATTATAAGGATATAAAAGTACATCTTTATAGTCATCTACAGTCACCATGGGAAAAAAGTTGCATTCAGAGTGAACCTTTTGGTCAGATGATTTTCATCACCTTGAGAATACTGATCAAACACAGTTTAACTTCAAGTTATCCCCACAGTCAATGCAGACACCAGAGCAGAGCAATGCATTTTTAACTGGTACACCTATCATTAACAGAACTCTCATCTCATGCTTGCAGCACAGGACATGAAAAAAAGAAGGCAAAAAGCCCAAAGAAAAATGCCTTCAAGTTGAAACTTCCTAAACACAGAGTAATTTTCCTTAGCATATTTGTACTTCTAAGTCCATTTCAAAGTACTGACTATGCCTGACACAGGGATCTAGTTAAGAGTGTGGACTGTGTTTGTACACAAATACAACTCCATCACAAACCCTGCAAAGCAGCATAAATTGGTGTTTTTCTTGCAGAAGCAGAGGTAGAGGTATAAATCAGAGACAATACATCTCGTCTCCACAATACCAGGACCATGTTGGCAGAATTTATCCAAAATGACTAAACATGATATTTAGTGCTAACTCACACCCCTCTCACCTATACAACAGGTACTTAAGGAAGGTTATTGCTTTTTAGCACTTGCATGTTCCAAACAGGCAAATTATGGTAAGGAACAGAGGAGTGAGAAGTAATGCAGAGTTACATTACAGACAATCCACGGCAGGTTTGGGAAAGATGTAAGTTTCCTAATTAGATGTCCTACCTATCAGCTAAAGTTGTCTTTCACTTAGAAATCATCAATTTCCTCACAGTAAAAGGACCAGTTTCAAATACCATAAACTGCCACACTGTAGGTAAGAGAGAGCCGGCTCTGACAAAAGTCATGTGCTTAAAAAAATGTCATTTGGCGTAGCAGCTGTAACATTTTATACTTATAAGGTTGCTGTCTACATGTAATCTATATTAAAATAAATCCAATTACTTACAAGGTTTTACCTGGCAACCGTATCAAGCGGAATGATATCACTAGCATCCAATAAATCAACATGCAGCTACTACTAGGATTTGGATAAATTTTGTAGCTTTACAGAAAACTAACCTTTTCAGTGTGCGAGGGACAGGCTTCCTAAGATTTGTTCTGCAACTACATTAAGCGTGCTCTGAGATTTCTAACGCTGAAAAAAAGACAGCTAAACTCTTACCTTTTCAAAAGAAACTCAGTTCTTGAATATCCTTCATATAAACTCCTTACTTGGCTAATTAGCACAGCATCAAAATGTAGTTCTGACAGGCAAATGTACATGGTAGGTACAAGTAATGGATTCCAAATGAGATAAGGAGTTAGTACTGCCTCATTTCTAAATACACTAACTTCATTCTCATTACGGTATTAAAATGGGAAAACTGGAATCACTTTCCTAAATTGCTTTCCAAAGAATGTTAATTTCTACTAATCCTAAATGTTTTGAATAATTATGTTCTGGTAAACTATAGAGTCCTTTATACATATATATATATTTATACATCAGCAAATTTTGAATTTATATGACTAAAATTTTCATTCAAAGAGCTTAAAGCACAAAGATATCTCCCAATTGTGGCAATGCTCATGTCTCCACTCAAGGAATCAGTGTGAGGTAAACACAATCGCAGAAGAATGAACAAAAATGGACACCAAGTATCACTTATTGTCTCTTTTCAGATCCTTTTTTTTCTTTTCAGCTCAGTGATATAATTATTTTCACAGAATTATGCCTTTTACAATCCTGACAGGTCTTCTATTTATGCAGCTTCTATAGAAACCCATACTCAGGATACATGATAATTCTGCAGTGACTGTTTTGCATCCATGTGCAATAAACTTCAAACTCATGCATTCAACTCAATGGTGAATAAATCCATAGCGTATTATACAATATTTATATTTATATATTTATATTTCTACATCACAATTGTGGTTTTACTTTTAAATAATTCAGTTTGATAATTAGTGTAACATTTAGATTACAGTAGAGTGTTTTATGTTTCCTTACATGGAACGGCAGAAACTACCTTTTTTAAAAAATAAATTAGGCAAGGTACTGGAAGGAAGGTCTCCACCGTTCTGTTTGGAAATGCAGTGGCTTGGTTTGCCAACAAATTAAATGGACCAATAAAGTTTAAAAAATCATGAGCTACTGACATTATTATATCTATTATTAAGCTGATCTGTAGTTTTATAAATATCTTCAGTGAGTTTCCTAGGAAACTCAGCTGACACTTACTTTGACAAGCAATCTCTAAATTTTACATTATGCAAGCTGTGAACACAAAAGTACAGGTTTTAGATGTGCCTGCCAGTGCATGAGGGAACTATCAATAAGTATTATTCTCTTTAAAAACCATGGCAATTTGAGCAGCAGTAGCAGCTATATAAGAATTTCTGAAAAAAGGATTCATAAATGCACAAATAAAGAGGATGTAATCGTACATGAAAATTCTTTTCTCACTGAATAAATCACTACACAGCTCTGTACAGATATTCTGACCCCACAAACAAAATGACAATTAAAAGAAAAAAATGTGTCTTGGGAATAATATGATAGACAGAAAACCCATGCTATATTTGTTAATGTATTTTGACATCCAAAGAATTGGAAAGATGAAGTGCTAAACCACAGACCAATGCAACACTTTATTAAACCTTTGTCTACTTCAACTATTTTTAATGCTCTCGCCTCAACATTTCAATGGCCTTGTATCAAAAAGTTGCCATGAAAAACAAGAAATTGAACCTATGTCAAAATGCTTGTCTCTTTAAGAGGAAAAGGGAACATGGCAAATTTTAAGGCTTTAAATTCTCAGAATGAAGAATCTCAAAATTATCTTTGAGTAAGTTGCTGGTGTCTGCAAACCTTTACAATTCAGATGGATCATTAAGAGCTTTGCAAACTCCTTATCCAGGCTCAAACCCCCATATATATATATATATTTATATATAAATATAAATATATATATATACACACACATACACACATATGAAACCATCCAGGACTAAGACTTTTAATTCCACTCTCCCTGGACTGCAGGAAGTCACAGGTGAGGTAGACATTTCACAAGGAAAACACCTACCCCACGTCTCTAGAGAGCTGAAAGGCAAAAAAATTCCCCCTTTTTGAATAGTTTCTGGTGCAGTTCTCAGGGACAACATCAATATTTGAACATTCCTCCCCTTCTTTTTTTTTCCCATAAAATACCTTTTTACTTATTTTTTAATCGGCTAAGGAATTATAATCCAGTTAATTCTTCCTGCAACATTCAAAATAGGAAACCACGGATTTCTGGCTTCAAGAATACCTTAGGGTCCAAGGTTGGGCTTCAAGCAAACTCACATGATTTTTATATATTTCTTGGTAACATAAAACATAAAGGAAGACATAATGAAAAAAAGCCCCCAGTAATATTCTAACCCCTAAAGGATTCATTTTCCCAAGTCATTTGCTGAAAATATCAGCAGAAATCCCTCAGAAAGCTCGGCAAAATTTAGCATCTAGGGGTTTTCCTGCCAAATTTAAATCACTAATATA